CTTTCTTTCTTACAATTTCTTTGTTGTGCTTTTTAACGATGACCAGATCTGGCATGTCATCCCCTCTTTACAAATACGTGGACTTCTGCATTAGCTCAGAAGTCACAATTAGATCTGGTGCTACTTGTTTTGCAGAGAAAATAGATTAAGTGCAGATTAAGCTTCGGGTAGATTGCAAATGAAGGAAAACAAAAAAGCAGAACACGACCTTCTTAAAAGGGAATGTTTTGAATTTGACCATTTTTATTTTGGACCTGATAGTATACCAGACCATCAGCAGCACAATGAAGATGACAGTGAAGGGCCACAGGGTCATTCAGGCTGGAAGGGACCTCAGGAAGTGTCTGGTCCAACCTCTTCCTGACTGCAGGCTCACCTGAGAGCTCAGGGCTTTATCCACTCAGGTCTTGAAAACCTCCAAGGACAGAGTCTGCGTGACTTCTCTAGGCCACCTGATCCAATGCCAGACTTTTCACTGGGAAAATGGTTTACTCTTAAGGGCCCTCTGTGAAAGTTACTCCAGTTTATCATTCTCTCCTTTACTGGGGGGGTCTGTAGCCAGACATGATATACTCTAGATGCAGCCTAGTGAGTGCTGCGTAAAGGAGGAGGATCAGTTCTCTTCACCTCTGGCTGTGCTCCTGGTCACACAGCCCAGGATGTTGCTGGCCCTCTTTGCTGCCAGGGCACACTGCTGGCTCATGCTCAGCTCCCTGTCTGCCAGCACCCCCAGGGCCTTTTCAGCAAAGCTGCTCACCCCCGTCAAGCCCCGGCCAGCATCACTGCAGGGGGCTCTTCCTTGTGAGGTGTACCTGTCATCGTTGAATTTCATAAGGTTCCCGTCAGCCCATTCCTCCAGCCTCTCTAGGTCCCCCTGGGTGGCAGCCCTTTCTTCAAGCGTATCAACTGGCTCTGATGTTATGCAAGTGCTGTAAATTAGTAAATTCACAACAGAGTAGCAAGCAGATCCTACCCCCTTCCCATTTTTAATCTCATCTATTTGCAGAACACATGGACATCTTGTAACAGTAGAGCAGAAAGAAGAAATGTGTAGGCTTATGTATGGTGTTTAAACTGATAGCATAATCCTAAATTTGTATTAGCCAGCTGCTTTTTCATCTAAATGGGGAAAAATAAATGATCTGGGATCACAGTATTAGAGAAGTTAGAGCTGGAAAATACCTGACAGGTCATCTAGCACATACATAATGCAGGATTTCTCTGACCATTACATCTTCTAATGTGTTGTGTTGTCTGTGTGCAAAAGGGTCAAGTACTGGGGTTTAGTTCACTCCCTTGGAGGATAGCCACATCTCACCACGAAGACATTTTTTATTATGCTCAAGTAACTGTTTCTTAATTTCTTCCTATTATTCCTAATTATCACTTGTGTTATTCCTAAGAAACCTAACCATTGGCGTTTATGTGGTAAATACTGTGAAGTCCTATATTTAATGGGGTTTGTTCAGCTATAGAATTCATAGCCAGTCAGTTGAATTTTTGCCATTAGATGTCACTACGTGTACAGCAAACAGTTTTTAATAGACTTCATTTTTGTTTAGCCTTCCAGAAAAATGGGGGAGGGAATTGAGAGGTGTAGGAGAGGGTCTGGTAGCATACTTTGAGATAACTACTTCTTAAATAGTGTGTTGGATATTCCTTTACTAAAAGCAGCACAGAAGGAAACATAAGATTTTTGACTTAACTCCAACAACCAACAGATGATGCTGTGACCTTAAGCATATATAAATATGTTTAGCAGCTGCTGTGTAACATATTTATAAGTGTTTAGTGACCTGGAGGTTAATCAAAATGAGTTTGGTGATCTCAGCTCAGTTCTTAATGGACTCCACTTCATATTATAGCACTGATGCAGCACAATTTGTCACAGTTGGCAGTCTTTACTCAAAGGAGGCGCACTGTGGAGTGAGAATTAAAGGCTGAAGTAATACCTGATTATTTCTCCCTAAAGAAACTTTCCATTCCAGGCCATCATAGAGCAGAATAATATGTGGAGGAACTCTGTACTACACACTGCACCCGATCTCAGAATAATTTAACATTTACTTTTACAGGTTGTCGCCTTTCGAAGTTGCTGAATTAGCTCATGCATGCCCTGGTCAGTGCTGTGATAAGGAATGGGGGAAGCATGAAGTTGGGCAAGGGATGGTGCTGAGTCTTTTCTCTTGCTGGGGGCCCTTTCTAGAGATTGAGAGCTGTGTCATTACATGGGAGGATGAAAGGGAAAGTCATTGCCTTGCCAGATGAAATTTCAGAATTAGGCTTTGCCATTCAGGTCTTTCAGGGTACAGAAGCAATTTTTTTTAGACTTTGGTTGTTTTCTTGCTGTCCTGGCCAAAGCAAGTATATTCCTTTTATTTAATTTCCACTCTGTCTAAACTGGAAATAGTTTCCTACTTCTTGATTTAGAGCTGTTGTACAGCAGTGTGCTTTCATGAGCTGCAATTGAGATTGATGTCCATAGTGGGTAACATGAAATAGGTTGTACCTCAATTTGAGACAATGAACAGCCCCACAGCTTAGAAGATATACATGCTATAGGAAGTAATAGCGTTGAAATATTAGTAGGTCGAGACCAATTTCAGCTTACCTGCAAGGTACAAGTCTCCTGTGTATTTTTAAAGCAAATGAAGGACACTGGAGAGACAGATACCTGTAGAGACTTCTGTCTTTTCCAGAATCCCATCCTCACTCCATAAAAGAACCTTTCAAAATCTGTTATTTCTTTTTTAAAACATAAAAATGCACTTGCACGCTTTCTTCATCTGTGCTTATATCTTTTCCCAGTAATGGGAAGGAGCTCACTTATCCAGCATGGAAAGAACTTTTCAGTTCACTGCATTGGTTGAAATACAACAATTTTCAGCTAGAAAAGGGGAAGGGGTATAGGAAGATACAATATTTACATAAGAAAAGCTTGCTTGTATGACTGAAATCTTTTAAAGTTGTTGCCAAATGGTCCTCCTCTTCTCTTTTCCCTTTGTAATTTTCCCTTGGAGCATTGCACCACTGTGCATTTTAAATCTTTTCCCTCCACTACACATTACAAACTTCATCATGGAAATGACATTGTATGGCAGTTGTCTCCTTCATATCAAAAGAAAGCCTTTGCCTCTTTGCAAGAGTGAAGAAAAGTTTGTCTTCAGAGAGCAAGGGACAAAACTGACTTGGAAAAAGATGCTTTATTTAGATAACACATTCTCTTTTCCTTTGAAGAAATTCACAATGTGCCAAGAAAAATTAGGCCGAATAGTGCTTTAATGGTCTTCCTTCTCTACCTCCTAAAGAAAAAAAAAATCCATTTCTACCAATTGTGTTAAGAATCTGCCTTGAGTTTGGGGAAGACGAGAAGCCATTGAAGTAATTCACGGTTGTTGGTGTGGGGGTGATTGTCCATTTTGTTTGAATACTGTACAATAATGAACAGCAGAATTTATACCAAAACTGCGTCTTCCTACAACAACTTTCACTGCCTATTATTTAATAACGTTAAATTGTTCTGGTTTTCTTTGGAGTGTGAAAAAAGCAGACAGATACCAAAGCTATGGAAGGGGAAGGGTGAGGGGTTGCTTCCTTTTTAATCTTAATTCTTTGAAAAACACCATAAATTCACAGGGGTACATTGAAGAAAGAGGTCTGAATTTTGTATTTTCCTATATAGGCTATGAATATAAAAGTAAGTATATTTGTGCATGTCTTTTTATTTATGCATACAAATATATACATATAACCATATACTCATACAGGTATAATAAAACTATATCATCTTTAATGGTACCAAGAAAAGGTAGGTGATTGTATTGTGGATGAAAAGAGCAAAAGGCTATTTTTGAAGTTGAGTGAAGCATTGCATTGGATTACTCTGCTTACTTGGGTTCGATTATTTTCTTTCTTGCACCTCAGTTTCTCTAAACAGTTTGCTAAATCATTTTCAGGTGTACTTAGCTACCGAAGTTCTAAAAAGTATCTAAGGTTTAGTCTTCAAAAATATTTCATCTGAAATCTTCACATTTGGAGATGTGGAGAATTTCTTCCATTTTTCAGACAAACTTAAAGCTCTGTTATGATAGCATCATACAGGTTAATACAGATTAACTTTTTGGTTTTGAAAGGTTTCTTCCTTCAACAGTGCATTGTACGTACATAGTTTTTTGGAAGATTGAACCTGAACAGCACAGACAAGATGGGTATTTTATTCAGTGCTGCAGTCAGGTCTGTGGTCATTTTAATGGCATTTGCTAAATGACTATGACTTTGGGCCCTAAATCAGTACCAGAAACAGGAACATCAGTTGTGTTATTAAGAAAAAAACTCTGTTTTGAAGAAGAAGAGAAGCAGGAATTTACATTTGTATGATTTCACAGAATCACACAGAATTTCTAGGTGGGACTTTCGTAAATGCCACTTCGGGTCATGAAGTTACGCTCAAGATAACTGTTCATATGCAGTTGGTTTTCTCTCTTGAACCCTGAGACTGGCAGTGTTTACAGGAAACAAGGTGTGTTTGATACCAGATCTGACATAACAGATAAAGAGATCTGAAAGAGATTCTATGGCACCCATTTTTCTTCTGGTCATTTCATTGCATTTTGAGCCATGGCAGGCAAGGATTTCTGTTAAATGGTCAAAACTTTCATTCACTCTGAAATTTTTATATACCAAACCTAGGTTCTAATTTTGACTCCTGATCACGTTGCTGTCTAGGGTAAATAATATGAGCTGTATTTTTGTGCTGATAGGTTGTGACATATAAAAACACCATATACATTTCTTGAAATTTATGTTCAGTCCAATTCTGTCTCAGATATACAGTGACTAATTCAAGACTAATAGCTCCCCATGTAGGTAAAATGAACTAATTGCGTGCCTTCTCCTTAGCTATTTGCAAACAATAGGAGATGTATTCTGTGACAAACCACAGTATCTTCAGCGATGAGGTACGTAATGAGACCGTGTGTGTGTGCTTTTTCTTCTCATAGGCAAGGCAATTTTCCTGCCATGAATCAAAGCGGTATTATGGGATCCAGCTCCCCCTACACGCAGCCGATGAACAACAGCTCTGGCTTGATGAACCCGCAGGCTCCTCCATACAGCATGGCACCTAACATGGTGAACAGTTCCACAGGTAATGGTGGGTAGCGTTGCAGGAGTGGCCTTCCTCCAAAAACTTGTTTAAAGGTACCAGCCCTGAGCTGATGGCAGAGGATAGCCTTCTTCATTCGATTCACCCCTACTGGGGTAGTTTGGAGTGATTGGAAACTAGGCTAAGGTATTTGCGTTTTTTTGTACAGTAACTCATGCATTTTTCATGAAGTCCTTTCGCACAGCATGTAGATGAGTACAATGTTTTGAAAGTTATAGCAACACTCGGACCCAGTTTGACGTAGGTGTTGACTAGCAAGTATTATGTATATTTGTGTGTGTGTGTCTGCAAGAGGGGGAAGGAGAAAAGCCTCATCTCTGAAGAGGCTGCTGTTGCTTTTCAGTGTCTTGCTTCCTAAGATTGCAATTTGAGTTATTTAATGTGGTGCTGTTTTTTAAAAACAGAGATGTGCACCTGCTCTGACTTGAAGATGCTGTAAGTTGGGCACTTAAAATAATTGCTCTGTTCTGAAAATATAGGCCTTATTTTCTGTTTCCAAAATTCATATAACCATCTATAGAGTTTCTTCACTTACTTATTTAAATATCAGTATATGAAATTTAATCATAGTTTCCTTCTGCAAACAAAGCATATTTAACGTAGATGTTGGATTTATCTTTCATATTGTGACTTGTGAATTCAGAATTATTTACAGATTTGTGTGCATCTTCGAAGACAGGTGAATATACTGCTGTGCAAATATGCTTCATCGTCCTTATTCAGCTTCACATCCTAACAATTATCTCCTATTGAGATGATACTTCAGTAAAGACCAATTCTTTGATGAGGGAGGGTTCGGATGGAGTTTCAGTAACCCTAAGGTGGATCTTCCAGTCGTGGAGTTTCGGTGCATGCTTTACTGATTACATTAGCCTTTTTTGAAAATTAGTTTTTTAAAGTATTTTTGAAAGCTGAAGAGCTATGCTAAGGTGATTTGATTTCTTAGTTGTATGTGCTTCTACTTGGTTTATTTCTTTACAGATACCTTGTTGCTTAAGTTGTGTATTACCAAGAGCCTGTGTTTCAGTATCTTCCTCTCTGCACCATGTAGCCTGTTCCATTCCTTCATCCTTTGCCTCCTTCCCTGCCTTTCCTTCCTCACAAATTCATATGCCTCTGCTTCTTAGGCAGAAAATGGCCCATGTGAAATTGTAGTGTCTAGTATGTCCAGAGGGCTTCTTTCCTGTGTTTAGGAGCTCCCAAGATACTTAAGGGTGTCTTATTTTTTGAGAATATGTTACATCTTTGTTAGCAAAAGAAACTGAATAGAATCTGTTAATCAGCAAGCTTTTTTTTTAAAAAAAAATTAAAAAAAAGAAAAAAAAAACGACCAAAAGGGCTTTTTCAGTCTTTCTTGAAAGCCATTGGTTAGTCCAGACAGCACACTTGTACTGTCTGGATGAAGAGGGAAAAGCTATTGAAAAGACCATTAGATAATAGCTTGCTTTTCCCCCACCAGAGCTGTCCCAGGTAATATTATGTTTTGTTTGTGTAGTTATGTGTTTTGTCTGGCTTGCTGAAATAAAATTACTTCTGAGCATTGAAACTGTGCTATAAATTCTGTTTTGCTATTAGCAGAAGTAATTTTTCCCCCTTTTCCTTTGGCCCCCAGAGCTGCAAAAATAACCAACAGCAAACAGATGGCAGAGTGCCTTGCCTAAGAAGATTTATGTATTCCTAAGGAATAACCAGTTTAAAGGAAGATTCACAGAGGTTTTTTTGTTCAGATAATTCAGCCATTCGTTATTTCATACAGTGGAAATCTGTTCAATGCAAGGCCATTTATCCTAGCAGTCTTTTGTATGGGGTAGTCATACTCTTTTTATTGTGTTATGCATTCTGAAATATTGGATTTTTAATAATTTAAACATTTATCAGGGTTTTTTTTTTCTGCCAGTGCATTTGTGAGGTTTTCTTTTGTTCCAGTTTTATTAATTCAAAGATTACCCAATAGAAAGTAAGTATGAGATGAACCGGAGGAGTTCAGTGCACCTCTTCTCCTCTGTGTGTGAGCAGACACGCATCTAGATTGCTCTCTATTGCTTTACACGGCTGGTCTCCAACAGCACAGAGCGTGGCGGTGCAGAGGGGAAAAAAGAGAAAATGAGGCGTGGATACACTGCTGGGGGCACATGCGGTGGGAACGCTGCCATTGCCCATATGCTGACACGTCATTCTGCTTGGGTCAAAGAAATGAAGGGCTGAGCTTAAGACAAGTGTCAATACAGGACTTAAAATGATATTGTCTTGAGCCGGGGGAGCACTGCAGGCTCCGCTCTTGCCCATGCACTGCATTTGATGAGATGGAGAACATGCAGATGGTGCCTGCTTACAGGCCGAAAGCGGCATTATCTGTGACACAAAGACCAACGCCGCTATCTGGCTCTTTTTCCCACTAGTTTAAAGCCACAACAGCCAGGAAAAACAGGGTTCAGTTAGTGTGTAGGGCCAAAAAAAGCAACTGAGTAGCTGCTGGTGGAGTCAAGTGAGAGGGTTACCTTTCTGACATGCACTGAGCATGAACAACTGTTGTTTCAGTAACAGGCCAATGAAAAAATAAGGTAAGCAACACGGAGAAGTTCATTTCTTGGTTTTCTGGGGTTTGAGAGTGCAATTACGTTGCCTGTTTTGGGGATGGAAGGTAGGTTTTGGTTTATTTGTTGTAATCAAATGCAGTCAGTTTTAGGTTTTGCTCTGTAAAACACAGGAAGATTGCAGATGCTGTTTGGAATTTACGTGGTTGTAGAGCTTCAGTACAGCTGAGTATAACACTTTTTGCCACCTGTTTTTATTAGTATTTATAACTTCTCATTACCAGTTGACCTTATTTTATTATTATTATTATTATTTAATTAATATCATTATCAAAAGGAATATCATGGTGCAGTTTAACATCCTGGTATTTCCGCAGTGACTGTGGATCAAAGAACACATCACCAGCTTTAGATGATGTAGAGCAGTTTAGGAACACAGAAATTATGAGATTAAAGCAGACGAATCCTTCTGATAGAGTATCCCATCCATAACAATACCAAAAGCTTCAAGAACAAGTGCCAGAATCCTCCCACAATTATGGAACAAGCTGCCATACAGAGAAATGGTATAAACTCCACTGTCCTCTTGCTATACAGGGGTTCACATTCTCATACATAATTTATATATTTTTCCCCTCCGTTTTTTTTAATTTGGGCTTTAAAAATATAATAAAAGAAAACTTACAAAACCAACATCAATGAAATAACAAGTTCACGCTGCTTACCTTGGCAATTCTTGCAAAAATTAGCTTTAAAAAGAAGTAATATGGAGTTTGTACCTCATAGCTTTCAATATTGTACTTGCACAGAGAGTGGCATCCAAAACCTCTTCTACTGCCCTTGGGGGTGAACAAAACAATGGAAGGGCATTCATACTGCCCATACCTCTGTTGTACCCATACCTTTCATTTTTCTGGGTTTTGCTATTCCCAGTAAATTTTGAACATTGGAATACTTAAAACATGAAGCTCTAAAAAAAAGTAAAGAAATTAAAAGGACACTCTTAAAAACAGATACAACGTTTACATTTTTATATAAAATGTATTTTTGACTTTGTGTTTATTTGGCTGAACCCCTGATAGAAACAGCAATTATATTTATAAATGTGAAGCATTTTTTAGAAATCTAAATTGTTTTTCTCTGTTTTGCGGCTCGGTTGGTTTTCATTTTTCAGAAGAATGAAGAACTCCATTTATTTTCCTTTTTTTTTTTTTTTTTTTTCCCTGACACGTACCTCCACGTGAGCTATTCTATAATGCACATTTAAACACAGTTTTCAGAGGACACCCGTAGTTGGTAGCAGGTTAAATATCACATCACCTGTAGCCCATACAGGCAACGACCATAATTTGGTGGTCACTGTGTAACTGTAAGCCAAGCCAGCTCTTACAGTACACATACCCACATCCCAAAACTCATGCACTTGTCATCCCACAGTCCAGAGGGTTGGTAGGCAGAAAGGAGGGGTGGCGCTGACATCCTTGGCCGCCTGCACACCCATTTCACAACAAGGAGCCCGAGCATCCTCGGCTGTGCTTCTACCCACAGGGGAATGGTCAGTTATGGCAGGATGTTAGGCAATGCTGTTCTGCTGTTGTCCCTGCTCTGTTGTGTTGTTTTTTTGGGGTATAAAAGCAGTGGGGATTCTTTTGCCAGCTCCATATGAGTCATAAATTCTCTGCTTTTTCTTTATTTCTTTTTTTTTCGTTTTTTTTTTGGAGGGAGAGTGCTAGGGGCAGGAGGGAGGGAGAAATGTCTTACAAAGGATGTAATATTCTGTTTTGTAGAGCGTGATTTGTTATTGCACTAGCAATAAAGAGAAAAACAATGTTTGTGTATTGCTGCTCTTACAGTATTTCATCATCTTCTGGGACTGATCGTGCAGCCTTTAGCAAAAAAGAATACTTTGCTGCAGTTTCACTCTTGTCAATATAAGCCTTTGAGTACATTAAATTCAGCGTGGAATAGTTAATTCAGGACCTTGACCCATACTTGCTTTTTGAAACCATTCTAGCTCTTAAATTCTTCTAATAAGCCAGAGGCTAGTACTTGAGACCTATTCACAGTATGCTACAGCACTTTTTAAGTCAAAATTTCCATGTTATCCTCTTCTCTAAAATGTTTTATCTTTCAGTCTGTACTTCACACGCAGAATTATTAGTACCTATGTAGAAAGAGAGCATGTCTTAATTTAGCACTTTCGTGACAATAACAATATTTCACTGCTCGGAAAGGGTCAAAACAATGTTCTTGCTGTACTGCTTCGCTAAAAAGTGAAGGAGTGTCTGTTTGCAAATCACTGGAGAATACGTTTGCAAGAAGTTATGAAACAGCATTTCAACAGTGGATGGAAAAGTAGCTGTGGAAACATGTTAGGTAAAAGCTATAGGGAGACCTTACAGTTTGCTAGTAAAACCCTTGCAGTTCTCCTCTTTAGAACAGAAAGTGATGTAGATGAAGAAAATAATTTAGAACAGAAAGTGGAACAGATTTGTGAAGCCATATTAATTTCTTCATAATTGTCTCCAACTCCTGATAGAGATGAAATTATATATGCAAATACCACAAAACAAGAAATATGCAGTACACAAAATGAATTGGTGTTTTTACATTCCCAAACCTGAATAATATAGCCAGAATATGTGGTTCATTGCAGACCAGAGTCCCTTGCCCTTTACATGAGATGTTAATTGAAACCTCGCTGGAAGAGATTTTATAAAGGAGCTCTGATGGAAACAGGACTACCAGGAATGGGCAGAATTATGCTATTCTTTCACAATAGAAATACAATGTGCCAACCTAGATAACAGTGAGAGATCAACAGAGGATTTAGCCATGCAGAACGCTGGTGAAGAAGTGTCGTTAACTTTACTTTGTTTGACCTCTCCAAAATAGCTTGAGAGGAGAAGGGTCATTTTTGGCTTGCTTTTAACTAAAACTAAGATGTCTTTTTAGCACTTTCACAGCATGATATGTGTTAAAATGGATTTTGTATAACAGTTTTGCATCCCAGTTTGAAACCAGACTGTGGCATACATTTGACCATTTTGCTATGTACATTTAAAAAAAAATCTCTGAAAGAAAAGTAACTTTTTTTTAAACTGAAGAATTCAAAACTAAAATGTGTTAGGCTGCCATTCTTCACTCCATAATGGTCACAAGCTGCCCCAACTCTCCAAACAGTGTAAGGGCAAAATGCATACAAATCACATGCGTAGTGGATGCTGGCTTCCCAGTATAATATTGCTTGGCTGTTTTGTTGAGGTTTCACACACATACATAAAAATAACAGCATTTTTAGCTGATCCCAATAGATTTTCTCTGCAGCTGCATCTCTTGAAAAAGGCTTTTTGTTCAATTCTTGAAGTCTTAAGTATTGCAAGTAAATTTTTTTTTTAAGCTCAATTATGATTTATGTGTTGTGATGACTTTAAGGGCTTGATTGGGCTACAAATGTGCTTTGAAAAAACAAGAAAATGTGCCCATGAAAAACACCAGCAGTTCAAAGCTGAATATTGAGCATACAGTTGTAAACTCACATGGCACATGGCTGGGTAGGTTTTTTTGGCAGACCCATAGTCTCAACCTGCAGTGATGCTAAAGATATTAGCAAATTAGCACTGCAAAGCTTGCCAGCGTATTCGCCAGAGTCCTGCTCATGCTCTCACTGCTGTAATTAAAACTAATTATTTTCTAAAACATAGTAATACATGAATATGTGCAATAATCATTTTGTAGTGGGCAATCTGTGAAGCATTTTTAAAGCTTCTTTTCCCCCTCCTCTCTTTGGCTTGCTACGCAGTGTGCCTGCTGCCTAGTGTGAGCCAGCATTGTCATTTTGCAGAGGCACACTAGGTCTGGTAATGATCACATTCTTATTTTTTTCCCCTTTTTTATTTTTTTTAAGCAACGATGCTTTGCTGATTCTTAAAATTTGTGAGCTTGGGATATGTATTTTTTCCTTTTTCCTTTCTTTATAGGTTATCCTAGCCTATGTTTTTCTTATCTCAGATCCTTCTTTGAAAGCAGGACATGAGGGGGAGAAAAAAGAGGGAGAGGGAGGGAAGATAATCCAGCCTTTCATAAATGCTGTGCACATGGTTTTCTGCAGGAAAAGAATCGCCTGGTGTCTTGCTGTTGTTCTTTGGTTATTTGCATTGATTCAGTGTCATGGCACCTCCTAGCATCTGCTCTGCCCAGTATTTTCTCTGTATTTATCTGAATGTTTCTTCTTGCATCTTTCTAGAAATCCAGGAACCCAGCAGCTCTGCAGCAATAATACTATACTTAGCACTCACATCTTCAAATATATATAAAAAAAAAACTTAAACTCCTCACACCCCTGGGAAGCAACTGTGTGCCATTATCAGGGAAAGACATTTGTGCGTTCATTATAGTCCCACCTCATTTTGGCAGGAGGGGGAAAGTTGACTGCTGTTTCTCAGAGCAGAGTTTGCAGCTTGTAATTCTGTAGTTAAAGCTCACAAGGCTGAGCAACTCGTCCTGAAGATAGTCAGGGCAGCAATTACCTGCTGGATGCCAGTCTTAATGCAGAAGCGCAATTGGGAAGTCCAGCCTTTTTCTCGGATTCAAAATAGAAAGTAAAATCTACGTCATTTTCGTCTCCGTTAGCCTGTTGCTAAAGGGAAAGTGCAGGAGTGACTGAGGTAGTCTGCTGGTCTGGTAAACTGTACTGGTAAACTGTCCTTGGGTAGCTGCAGACCAGCAGCGCCATGAGAAACAAATTTTCCTCTGTAAAGTGTTTTTTATCGTTGTTGTATGGTGCTTGCATTCTCCCTTTGTTCTTTTTTCTTTTATTTCCTCGCTTTCCTTTTATTTCCTCACTCCCACTGAAGAGGTGTGCAGGTTTCCGGATGCTAGGATAAGAGGACGGAGGTGGGATAACCTCTGCTTCACGTGTGGCCACAGGCTGGCAGCAGGAAGCGTTTTTTTCCTACCGAGCCAAGCACAGTCATGCTTAACTGTTTCTCCTGTTTTCGATTAGCACCTATGGGTCTTGCAGATATGATGACACCCGGTGAGTCCAAACTACCCCTTCCTCTCAAAGCAGATGGCAAAGAAGAAGGAGCCCCTCAACCCGAGAGCAAGTCAAAGGTATTTACCACCTCCGCACGTGGTGTTGGTTCAGCCCGCAGGAGTCTGCTGTGTTGTCTCCATCTTCTGGTTTTGGCCTACCCACTTCTGTTCTCTCCTGCATGCCTTTCCATTCACGTGCAATCTCTTTGTTTGTTTCTTTTTTTTTTATTTTTATTTTTTTTTCACTTCATTGTGTGGATCTGAAAGTTACTAGTTCTTACGGCATTTTAACTTGCGGGGGCAAAGCATCCCAAGCCAAAAGTTGCGTGGGGATTCGGCTGTGCCAGGTGGGTGGGGAAGAAGGGTCTTGCCTGGTTTTAATCCTTGCAGCCATTTTTCTCTGCCTTCAGTTATAGCTTCCTGTTTTGGCCGCCTCAGCAGCAGCAACATACTTTAATATTTTGCTTTCCTGCCTTATTTGATAAAATAAGGTGAACAGCTTGTTGTTTTTTTCTTTCTTTCATAAGGGGAAACCCATGCTTAGCATTCCATGTGAGCTTGAAATAAGCATGGTGGCTTAGTGACTTTAGCCAAGCATCCAGCAAACTTTCCAAATTATACTAATTAAGAATGTTGTTTTAATACTTTATATATATATATAAATATATTTATATATGTGTGTGTTTTCTGTATGTGTCTCTCTGTTTATATATATTTTATATATAAAAAATTGGTCAGTCTGTTAAACTGGATGTATTTTTTTTTGTTTTTAATAAAGTTTGCCCTGCCTTTGTCATATTATTTTTTTTTTATTCCTCTACCACAGGATAGCTACAGCTCTCAGGGTATTTCTCAGCCCCCAACCCCAGGCAACCTGCCAGTCCCTTCCCCAATGTCCCCAAGCTCTGCTAGCATCTCCTCATTTCATGGAGATGAAAGTGATAGCATTAGCAGCCCAGGCTGGCCAAAGACTCCATCAAGCCCTGTAAGTGGCTCTGGTTTTTTTGGTTTTTGTTTATTTTTTTGTAATTAATTATATTTTAATGCTTGCTTGTTTGTTTTATAAATTCCTTTTCTTCATTATTTATCCACTAAACAGTTTTCTTTCTTTATAACACTGGGTACAAATTCTGCTCTCGGACACATGACTGTAAGTTCCACTGCCTGGCTTCAGTGGGGCCCGAGCATGCTTATCCAAGGGCAAAATTTGTCCCAACGGTACTTTGAAATAAGAAAGAGTAAAATTGCGTGCATCATGCAAGTGTGCTGTCTGGTAATACAGCAGTTGTTGTGAAGAAAACATCCTGTTAATGCATCAGCTTCCAAGCATGCGGACTGTGTTGTTAAGGACAAATCCATTTCTGTTCCTGGGCCCAAACTCCTTCACACAACTGTCTTCACTCTGGTTGCTGCATTTGTCTTTGCTAGTGTTATTTGGGGCTGGGAGGAGGGAAGGGAAGAAATGGGGGGAAAAAAAAGATACGTGAAAGTTTGAATTGTAGACTTAGCACCACAAAAAAGCTGCCATGTATATTTTCAAAACATTTTATATTTTGAATTGTGTATGTGGAAATACATGTATTAGGTTCTCAGGATATGATCTAAAACAAAATTATTTCTGATTTGCTTCTTTCAATTATTTAGAAATAACCCAGATTGTGGGTAGAATAAAACTGGTGTGTGTATGTTCTTAGAAAACTATTTTTAGGTGAATAATGTTTAGTCATTCTCGTACAAGAAAAACCTGAGAGATATGCATGGAACTAAAAAAATAAATGTCATATGTATATATATATATATGCACATGGAACAATCTATGTGCATATATAGACATATATAGAAAAGAGAATGTTGACATAAGACTATATGGCCTATGGGAAGCAAATGTCTACTTGGCCATTTTTGCTTTTTGCGTTTTTTAATAGGAAAATGTATGTTGTTCTATTATTTTCTTTCTGCTAAAAATAATAATGATAATAGTTTCTCTGTAGAAAAATACTGCAATGTTTTTTGAGAAATATAAAGTGTGGTTTTTTTCCAATGTTGATGTTCACTCAAAATAGCAACAATTCTTTGATAACAATTCAGTTTTCACAAAGTGATATGTTACAGAATATGTCTTAAAAACAGAGGAAGGCCAATTGGAGTAACAAAGGTCTGCCCATCCAAAAGCCAGATGTGAATGCCCTGAGCAGAGGGGCAGCGTGGCATGAAATGCACCACCTCGATGTTTTGATGTTTATTTGGCAGCAACTTTGGGTCTCAGAAGGCAGCTGGTGTTACTTGTTCCCACAAAGTCTCATTCTTAACAGTGTTTCTAAGAGGGTAGTACCAAAAACGGGATTTGTTTTCTTTGTAATGGCGTTTTTAGGTAGGTTTTCCGGAGGAAAGCAAGAGAGCTATTGCATAGGCTGTCTGACCCATCAAGTCCTTCTGCAGTGCATTCCTGAGCTCACTGTAAAAACTGCACAACGTATCCTAGAGCCATTGTGAAGATATGCAGAGATTTCTTCCCTCACAAATATGGCAGAGTACAGTGCTGGGAAAAGTGAATGGAGAAATGTTGTGGTTTCAGTGTAAAAGCTTCTCTTCTGAATGCCCTTCCCTTCAAGTGCTGCTACATCTTTAGCTTCAGCTAGGTTCTTGGTAGGGATAAATAGAGAGCTTTGGAATGATGGAAAAACGAGTGCTGTAAATTAGCTGATCTCTCCTTACCTATGAAGGCCAGTGTATTGGATAACTTCATCGACTTCAACAGCAGCCTGACATAGACTGGAAGATTGATTGCAGGCGTTTTGTTACACTTGAAAACAGGCCAAATTTGTTCGTTAAATCCCAGAGCTGCTTCTTGGGCTACAACTTCTCCATTCCAGCAGTTGATAAAAGCAAGGGTGAGTGGACTCACAACGTCCCTGTGATCCTACCAAGCGGATCCTCTCTTTCAGCAGTTCTGAATGGAACAGAGCCATAACAAAATGTAAAGAAGGAACTGTTTTGTGTTATGTTGTGAGGGCTCTTAAGGTGTATAGGTAAAAGGACATTTCTGCTCTGCTAATTTTACATGTAGTGTTCATCCCTGACAGTCTGAGAATCTTCAAATCCTTTAACAGATAATTTGAAAGTGGGTCCGCACTATGCAGGGTCACTCCAACACAAGGATTATGTAGCCCCATCACGCAAGGGTCTGTATTAGAGCTATACAACTTCAGTAGGGGATAGGTATTGAAAATAAAGTATGAGCTGAGGGAAATTTAATAGAGGAATTGGCTTTGGTAACCACATTCTTTGTTGGTGGTGGTTTTAATCACCAATTTAAACATAGCCAGCCATATCTGCAGAATGACTGGGAATTGAGGGCAGAATAGGATACCACCAAGTCAGTGAAGGTGTGTGCTACGGGATTGCACCAGCATTCTTTTATCACCTAAATAATCAACAAACTTTACAAAATAAATGTTCATGATCTGTGTTCTTCCAGCATTGCCTGCTATGCCCTCACTTGAGCTAACAATCAGTTAATGGTATCAGCTTGTAATAAACCTCTATTTTCCAGGGGTTAACATTGACCTATAGGCAAATTTAGTCTTCCAGCTGAATGTGCCCATGTGGATCCAGAGTTTGTTTGTGTGTAGACTAGCTTGCACACATCTGTCATTTTTATATGTTTACATTTATAAAAAATAGAGAAGAGAAAAAGATCTTTACTCTTGAGGAATAGCATTTTTCCCTCCAGTGCATTCTTCTAAAGTTAACATTTCATTTTAGAAGAAAATTGCACCCATTTTACAAAGCCTGACAACCTGAAAGCTCACACAGTAAGAAACACTTCTTACCTTCTGTAAGCTGTGAAAAGTTTTCAGATTATACTGTCATTTTAGAGCCTGCTGCCACATTGCTGAAAAGCAACATTATTTGAGACATACAGTGGAAGAACCCAGAATGAAAAATTCTTAACTGGTCTCCATTCTGCTCTGAATCTGATTTGAAAGAGAGAATCTTAGTGCATAGAAAAATAAAATGTAAAACTGGGAAACCTGAACATTCTTAATAGTGAACTACCATAAAAGTGAAATAGAAACTTCTTTGTTGCCTTGTATGTTAAAATAAAAGGCCATACAAAATTTGCTGGGTAAAAGCTGAAATTTCCCACCTTGACTTGTATAGGAGTTCTCTAGCATCTTAGGTGTAAGATTAAAATTAATGCTAATGATGATGAACAGTAGAGTAACTTTGTTATTGCTGCAGTTGGTAGAGGAGTAGCATCAGTTTATTCTGCTGTTCAAGTCTGTGATCATGTTTTCATTACGAAATCAAATTAGTAGCAATAGGACTTGCCTACTGCCCACTTCCCACCCACCACCAAATAAATCCTTGACAAAGTATATTTGTTGAAAAGAGTTATACTGATTTACTGAAACACCCAAATACATAGCAAGTGATGCTTTGAGTGAAGTGTTTGCCATTACAGAGTCAGTTTGTGTTTCCATTGCATAATCAAAATCTGCAGGACTCATGTCAGAAAACTTTCCTGCCAGCCCTGTAGAATTAGGGTTCAGCCTCGACTCTGGCATCACAGGATCTGTAACACAACTGAATCTGATTCAGGAGTGTGTCTTATTTCTAAGTGAAGAAGGTAGTAGTGTCTCTCTGTAGGAAGGACTACAGCAAAGGAGGCAGAAAACCTTACAGGAGGCTATTTATTTAATTAAAAGGAATATCCATTCACTGGAAAGAACAGCAATGGCTCATGGAACTGCTGGGTCACCCCCTCCTGGCTTCGTGTTTCCTTTCTCCTGGCTCTCCTCCAGTATTGCCAAGTTTCAGCTGGAGAGAGATACAGAGCCTGTCATATTTTCCAGGCTAATGTGCAAGATGAATGGTGGCAGTGCTTTTAGAGTCCTTGGCAGTTGGATGCTGCCACACCACATCTTTCATGGTGTCCAGCACCAGCCCTCACCAGCGCTGTGTGGGGACGAGGACAAGTGGGTGGCTCTGTAGCACCCGTGAGGTACATCCAGCGTCTTGTTTAGAAGTGTTCAACTAGAAATAAGGTACTGATTACTTCAGAGTAGATATGTCTCCTGTTCAAAGTAAGGGAAGGCAAAGAAGGGAAAGAGTGATTGACTAGATGATTTTGAAGTGTCTACTGCAATCAACAACCAAGATTAGGATTTTGCTACATAGATAGAAAGCGTATGTTTCCTTTCACATGTTTGGCTCCTTTCCCAAAGCTTCATATCAATCTTTCTCTCTTGTGTTTAATTCTGAGCCACTCCATCTCGCAGTGCTGAGCAGATCTCTTCACCTTGTGCGAGCAGGAGGGTCTTCCTGCAGTACCAACAGCCCCTCTCCGTCGTCTGACCAGAGGCACCTCAGTGCCTGGTCCATCCACATGTGGCACAAAGCCCAGCTCACAGATGGAAAAAGAAGATATGGTGAGAAGATCTGTGTTCTAGCCCCTGTGGCAGCCTCAGTGCTTTCTGCCATCTCTAGATTGAGAAGAAAAGGACATCAGGGTAGCATGAGCTTTTGTTAGCTGTAAAGCCAGAACAGCAGCAGCAGAAGGGCTTCACTCCTGCACTTCTGCCACATATGAAAGTATTCTGCTCTTTCCACCTCTTTCAGTTTTCCTGTGGCTCATCTCTGATTGCTCTGAATCCTGCTTTTCCCCAGGTCATAATACACACTCTCTTCTCTAGGCAGGTTGTATGAAATGACCATCTTCTGTCCTCATTCAAGAGAGGAGAGTAGTAGCCACTCATGAGCATTACTGGCTCAGGCAGCTAATTCACAATTCACAACGAGTATTGCCACCAATCTCCTTGTACTGTAGGCATTCATCTTCTTTCTGTTGACCAGCAGCAGTGTGAACAGACAGTAAAGCATTGCCATTTATGACTCTAAATCGAGTACAATCCCTAGTGTACTAGATTGCCATAATTCATGCTTTAGGATATTCTTCTGCATTTCCTGTTCTGGTGGAAGACTTTTAGGTTTTCTAGCCACTCTTTGGGTAGAAAGACAGAGTGTTCATTTCATTCGTTTTTAGGATTAAGATAAGTTGAGTGGGACAAGTTTGTTTTATTTTGCCCAAATCACTGCTTGCAAAGCACTTTAAGATAAGTGGATGTGAAGGACTATGTGAGAACTACCTGTTATTAAAATGAAATGAGGCAACATCAGAAACTTGCCTTCTGGGATCCAAAGTTCAGATCAGTGAAAAAAACATGAAAATGGGGAGTTTGGGCCCTTTTAATTAAAAAGCTGAATTTTCAGTATATGAACAGAATGTAATGTTTGTGCCTGAACTAGTAGCCTTCATTCCTGACTGTTGTGTGATAGCTTTAGTTTGTTTGACATCTTCTCTTTTTCAATGTTGTGAGTTTCTTACTTTCTTTTCCCTCCCCCTCCCACCCTTCCCCCAACTTTTTTTTTTCTTTTTGCAATTCAGAAATCAAGTTCCTCTACCACAACTGGAGAGAAGATCACAAAAGTCTATGAACTAGGAAACGAACCAGAGCGCAAGATGTGGGTAGACCGGTACCTCACATTCATGGAGGAGAGGGGCACACCTGTGGCCAGTCTGCCAGCTGTGGGCAAGAAGCCCTTGGACCTGTTCAGGCTGTACGTCTGTGTCAAAGAGATTGGAGGTTTAGCACAGGTGAGAAGTGCTTAAAAAGTCAACCTTCTGAAGAGGCAATACATAATTTTCCAGAATATTTCCTGCTGGTTACACAACGTCATTCTCAGCCCTGACAATAGAGTTGACGTAGAGTTTCAACATATTAACGTTTTTCTATTTGTCTGGAATTCATCTGTGGCTGCATAATTGCTCTAAAAGCCTACTGTTTGAATCAAAATTGACCAACTCTGTAGACAGATTAAGCTGTTACCTGTTCAGGGTACCTGTTCAGGGGAATCCAGTAGTGCTGCTAAGAAAACAGAAGAGAAAAAGGCCATTGCATCAAAGTCACATGTAAAAAAAACAGATGATAGAGCTGAAAGGAATTCAGCTGAAAGAAAAAGGAGATTTTGAAATCCATCCTTCCCAGATAGGTATGCTGCCTCTGGGACAAATCAGTTCATTTCTCCAGAAAAGTGGCAGAGAGATTCTTGAAAATCGTCCTTCTTCCCAAATCTTTCATCTCCAATTGTCTCTACACAGTACAATTGTGTCTTAAGCAGAGACTGTGCTCTCCTCGTGTTTGGAAAGCGCTTTCAGGATATTTCGATTTGCCTTACAAGTGTAATCATTACAAAGAAAAGGTGATTTACTTAATTGAGAGAAATGAAAATGAAAGTAGGAAGAGCTGAAAACAAAAAAGTTCAAAGTTAGAATACAGAATATACAAATTTCTCTGGCCTTGTTCTTCCTGCTGAGCTTATTTGGTGTGCCACAGATGGGAGAAGCTTTCGTTTGTGTTCTCACCAGTTAACTGGAACTCTGGCAAAAGGATATGTGGAAATAACTTACGTAAGGTTCTATATAACTGACCACCACAGAGCAAAACTAAATGTTTCTTGACTAGCACCATCAAAAGGGAAAGCAGGAGTAAATAGTCAGCATTTGCAGACTTAGCTTTTGTATTTGATATTATCTGCCCTTTCCTGATGCTTACTAAACATCCTTTGCATCTACAGGATCAGTCTGGCTAGATGCTAGAAGCTACTGTGAAATGCTGAGACCCGTAATTTCTGTGGATTTAAAAATGTCTGTGGATGTTCAGTGCTTTGCAAGACTAGGTCTTAAAGACAGGTGTATAGATAAATATCTGTATAGTATTTAATGGTATATATATGTATATGTAATTTTACACTAATTATAAAATATTAAGTCAAAAATACGGAAATCAAATTAGATCATCAGAAAGAGAGTACATCGTAATGATTTATCTGGTTAGTTCAGGAAAGAAACTTCCAACATCAATTAGTAGCATTTTTACTGCCGTGTTTAATGGTACACTTCACAACACAGGACTTGACTACTGAATTAGATCATTGGCCCTTCAAGTCCAGAAATGCTAGCTATTGCTGTTACTAGAGGAAGGCAGAGAAACCTAATATAGTTCACCTTGCCAGTTGTTAAATGCTATATATGGGTAAGAGATGGTATCCTGACATTTTTAGTGATCAGCTCATGCCCCCCAGCATCATAAAGATTTGATTACTTTTAGCTCAGAAACTTTATTACAGGTAAATCGTATCATGCAGCTGCTCTGCCTCGTACAGCAAGATTGCGCCCGTAGCCTGACTCGGTATCAAAAATAAAGCAAGGGGGACACATGGGATGTTCTGGAGAATTGTTAATGTTTGCTTATCACATGGAAATGTATTTTATTTTGAGACACTCAGTGTTAATTTGCAATGATAGACATTATGCATTGCCAAAGAATAGATGCTGTTCACTTAGCCTGATTTTTGAAGGATCTTGAGTTACAAATTTGTGTGCTTCAGTACTGATAAGAATTGACATTGAAAGTAAAGGCTTCTGTTTTTGCTGGTATGCCCACATGAATGATCACCGTGTTTATCTGTTCGGGCCTACTGAGAGGCAAAGTGCTTTGCTTGATGAGATTTATTTAAATGCATCCGAGTGATGTTCTTCTAAAAAGTTGTTGCTCCAGCTGCTACGCTCCGCATCTCCTGATTCTGCCCAGAAAGTGACAGGGAACGTAGCTGAGCAGCAGCAGTACATGTTCTCTGAATACGTGCAGCTGATGGGGTCCCAACATGAACAGACCAGCTGCTGGCAGTCTTCTTTTAAATGCCAGTACAGTGGGCATTTAGGCACGAATGTTCCTGTTTGCATTATACAATGTGTTCATTACGTACCACTTAGCTGTAAGTCAGTAGGCACAAAGGGCTGTGTAACTGGATTTCAAGCCTCAGCAGGGGCAGTTTATGACAATCTCTTCTCCTTTAACTCCTGAGTTCTTGCAGGATCTACCAGAGAAATAAAAACACTTCATACAGCCATGCCAACCTGCCTACTATTAATGCTATCCCCAAAATATCTTCGCTGACTGGCAGCAATTATGATGTTATTAAACACAGAGAGAAATGTAAGAAACATTTCTTCTGCTGGCATAAAGGCACGAGAACAGTATGGCTAATGATAACCATTGTAACTAGAAAAGTTAAGCTGGAATCATAAAATCTCAGGCCTCAGGGCAAGTACAAGGCCTCAGGGCAAGTACAAGGTATCATGGCATGCAAGAATCAGGATTCTTCCCCAGCATCAGCCCAGATGCTCAGATGTTCATAGCCCCTTTATTTCAGTGCTGTCTCCCCTCCTAGGATCATACCTAGCAATTGCACAACTGGCTGAATGAACTTTGGGGCATCAGGTGTTACAGCAAAATACTCTGCTACAACTGGTACAGCTGAGTGAGCCAGTGGCATCATCCAGGATGACAAATGAACTGAGCTGTTACTGCAGATCAGCTGTGTTTGAAGAACTCAGGAGCAGATTCTTTGGATATTCTCAGCCTTGCACTGCAAACAAGACTCGCAGTGGAGCTGTGCAGTCAGCAATGTAATACAGGGTACTGCTGGGCTAGTCCTGTGTGTTTGAAGTCTGCCTTAATTAATGAAGGGGCCTCACTTCACTCTGCCTCTCATCTAGCTAAAGGATCATTGATCTGTCCCTGCAAGATGTCCTAAAGTGAAAGGACTCGAGCCAGGAATTACAGGCTAAACTGTCTGACAGCTGGTGGCTAGTTTGGAGAGAAAAAATATTTTTCATATCGGTGCTCAAACACTTAAATTGCAGAATAGCGCTGTTATTGCTTTTTAAATTAGTTTTTAGAAGCTGCTTTTTAATTAGAATGGGGTGGGTGTGGGTGGGTGTCAGAGCAAGAGTGAGCGTGCATTTGCTTGGAGATAAATTGCTAACTGAAGAGCACAGGCCCTGGAAGAGTGCAAGGCATTTAAAAGATGCACCATGCAGAAGACTCTCAACAAGCAAAGCTTTTTATGTAGCTATCAGCAGGTTCCTTAATGGTTTTATAACTGTAAATGCTGTCTATGCATTACTTCGTGTGGGAGTAATGAGCATTAGTTAGAAGAGGAAAATAATAATAATAATAAAAAAAAAAAGTAAACCAAGACATTAAGTACTTTTTTTTTTTCTTTTGTCTCCTGACTTTTAAACAAACCAGTCTGCTGCAAACCAATGATTCTGCCATTTCTTGTGCTAGGTTAATAAAAACAAGAAGTGGCGTGAGCTGGCAACAACATTGAACGTTGGCACTTCGAGCAGTGCAGCCAGCTCCCTGAAAAAACAATACATTCAGTACCTGTTTGCCTTCGAGTGCAAGATCGAGCGAGGGGAGGAGCCCCCTCCAGAAGTCTTCAGCACCGGAGATACCAAGAAACAACCTAAGATTCAGCCGCCATCTCCTGGTAAGTAGGAAAAACTGCAGCCTCTTACACAACCATTTTTAAATGCGCAAGATATTCACTAGGTTGCAGTTTTTATATTTAGAAGCATGTCTTGCTAATATTAGACAAACTGCGAGGATAAATATGTTGTTGGCATCTTGTTTTCCAACTTGAACCGGCTCCTGAGTTGAGTCAGATTTAACTCTGAGGAGCCATCCACGGTTATGTATCTAGTCTTTGCTCAAGGTGCATGTACCATCATATCTCTAAGATTCAAAGAGTTAAGCTGTTGTAGTAAAAATGATAGCATTCTGCGAGGACGTGCTCGTGCTGTAAGACAGGAGGCAGCCAGCACCAGGAGGAGTTTCCATTTATCTAAAGATGAGGTCCTTCTGCCTGCACCTTCATTGCTGTGGCTCTGAAGCTGCATTTTCAGCGTGGCTGTTGCTTGGTAAAACTTCAGTTGGAGGCAGGATGGCAGATGCTGGGCTAATGAGTGGATCTCAGATGGTTGCTCTGATGTGGCTCGCCTTGAATGTGTGGCAGATGGAAGGAGCTGAGAGTATGGTGTATCCCCACGGCCAGACATTGTAGTCTGGAGGCACGCTCTCTATTCTGTTGTTGTTAATCCTGCATGTCAGATAAGTTGTTAGCATCACCATTTTTATCTTCTCTGAAAAATCAGAACATGAATTGATTGATTTGGGCCATTCTTTTTGTGTGTACAGTGTGGTTTCTTTCTAAATTAATTTAACTTGAGACTTGCAAGATTTGATAGTCATGATTGATACTCAACACAGGAAAATTCTTTAGCAGTGACATTTTAAGTATATAGGAAAAGGTGTTGTAAGTATTAGTCTATTAAGTTGACTTCTGAAAAATTTTCCTTTCATTTGCTGGTTATTAGACTTTTCTGAGCAACAAAATAATTTTGCTAATACCAGCTTTCACATTTACTGCTAGGTAGACCGCCTTCTGTTATTGCCAAGAGAACATAATTCTGGAATGTTGATAGCAGTTCCGTATGTTAGAAGGCAATATTGGAAAAGTATTTAATGACTTAATTTCTGTTATTTCGGTTCACTGGCTGAAAATGGGAGGTGGAGAGTGGGGGACCCAGCAAGCTCTTGAGGTATTTTGCTGGCTGTATCGCCCCAGTTGGAAAACTCCTATCGTGGATACCACAAAATTTGCAAAAACCTTTATCATCATATAACACAGTTCTGGCCTTTACAAGATCATTTCATATGATAGTGCTTTGTCACTACAGAAGAAGGTAAGGCAATAAAGCTTAAATCTTTTTCAGCATGATGTATTTGGTTTAAGGATTTGGGGCAGTGTTTAGTGTTAAACACTCCTAGATACATCTCCTTGTGTAATACTTTAAATAGTTCCACTTCCTCATTAATACCTACAGTTATCAGGTACCTCAGTGTTGATAATTTAATATAGAACTAGATGACTTTGCAAGGTAATTTCGGAATGTGAAGAAAAACACGTAGTACAAGAGGTGAGGCCTATAGTCCAAATGTTTATCAGTCTGAAATGAGCATAGCAAGTCCAGAGTGTGCCCCACTGCAAAAATTATAAGGTGTTGCATTTGCCTCTCATTCCCAAGAAGGCTGGTAAGGGGAGTGAAATTGTTTAGACTTGCTAAGGAGTGTCAGGAGGAAATTAATTTATTTCTAAAACTAAGAAGCAGTACTAAAAATGAAAGGGTATTGTGCTTTGCTGTCTCCTCCCTTGCCCGTCCCCCTCCAACACTGCGCTCAGCAGTTTGTTCGGGGACAATTCCTGTGAATCTGTTGAACTTTGAGATGAAGAATCCTTATTTAAATACGTAGACTGGAAACAAAGGAATAGAAACACCAGACGTACCATTTTTACAGCGTCCTTTTGTATCACGATGCCACAGATTAAAATGATAAAGTCCGAGTTTAAATTTATCATAACATTCAAGGAAGCTGCCTATGAGGAGAACTGAAACTATTTTTCTAAGATAAAAACACAGCAGGACATAGAGACTGGAAGAGGGGGAAGCAAGCAAAGATCTCAAGGTTTGTTTTGTTGGCTAGAAAAGAACTCGTGTCACTGAATGGACTGCACTTCTGTACGCAGAAAGGCTTTCCCAGTGTGTATCAGCTTTAGTACATGAAATCCCGCTGAGGTATAGATGCTGCAGAGTACAAGCCTGTTCTTTTTAATAGTCAGCTTTTTTTTTCTCGCTCCTTTTTCTTTGGTTTATACCAACATTAACATTTTAACTGCACAAAAGAAGTAGAGTTGTGGATGTACTTTAGATAATCTGTTACTCTTTGGCATTCAGAGGGAGCAGGAGCCCGGTACAACACGGAACAGCAGCCTCGTAAGGTCCTCCTTTTAACCATTAGCCTCTGTTGTGCAGTTAGCTCAGTGCAGGCAGAACCACTTTGAAGCAGACACCATTTGCAAAGAAGCAGTTGGCAGCATTAGTGCTTGGGTAATTTGATAAAAAAGCAGGGGGATTTGTCTCAGAGGGGGCGTGTTGTACTTTGTCCATGAGAAACAGTGCAAAAACCATAGGAAGCAGAGCCCAGCAGAAGAACCTGGTTGGGAAAAGGTTGTGGTGTGCAAGGCAAATCTGGGGGACTGCGATGCAGCACTGTGGGTTCGTGTGTTAGTCCATTTGCTTGTATTTGGGATTTCCCATCACTTTTGGTTTTTGCATCATTAACTCTAATAAGGTAAATGATATGTAAAGGAGAGAATAGTTTAGTGCTGTGTACAGTGCAATTCAGGGTAGTGTCAGCAATTATATGAAGTTGAAGAAGGGAGTCGGAGTAGCCAGCGTTGGCACTGTAGCCAAGGCATTAGTGATAGGATTAGCTGCCTATTGTAATAAACGTCCTGGCTCCGTAGTACTGTTGGAGCCTCTTCTGTCCTTTCAGAAAACTGCCAGGCAGAGGTGGGGGCCTGAAGGTGTTGCAGTGTGTCTTGCACTGCTCTGAGGCTGTGCAGGCTGGAGACGTGCTTGTGGTAGGCTGAGACCTTGATATCACGCCTTGGGTCTGCCTGGGTCAGGTAGTACCACCGTGGTGGACACCACCAGCAGATGCCTAATGCCAGGCTAGCTATTAGAGGACCCCTGCTGGCCCTGTGTCCTGGTTGTTGTGTCTGTGCCAAGGTCCGTGCCAACTATTGGGTGTTATTTTGCTGTGCAGGCACTCCTTTATGGAGAGAAAGGCACCGTGGGCCTTCGTAAGCATCCTTCTGGGGCTCCAGTACTTTCCAGAAGTGGGTACAAAAACAAAATGCGCTTCCCATCATGTGCATTCGATAGTTTTGACCCAAATGCACAAATCCAGTGGCAAGTCCTGAACTGAACGTTTCCCTGGCAGTGGAGAAGCAGGCCCTGGGGAGAGGGACAGCGGGGGGGACGCAGCACAACGCAGCCCTTCAGTGAGTGCCCCTGGAACCAAACCCATCCCTCTTCAGCAGCGGGTGGCCGACCGACCTGCTGTTATTAGCAGGCAGGTGATGCCACGCAGCGTGCCACCAGGCCAGCCGAGGAATCCCCACAGAAGACGGATGGGCGAGGGGTCGGAGGACGTGGGGGCAGGCCGAGGTGCCCCCACGCCCCGCCGGGGGGGCCCAGCCGCAGCCAGCGGCCCCCAGCCCGGCCAAACTGGGGCACAGGGCTCGTGCTGTGTGAATTATCTTCCCAGCGTGGCGGCTGGCTGCTCACTCTGAAGTATGCGAATGTGCTTAACCTTCAGTAACCTTCCCATTGTTTACTTTAGAGTATACATTTGTAGCTTCTGGCAAAAGGTAGGGATATCCTAGAGAGCGCATCAGGCCTCCTATTAATGGCATTTCAAGAGGTTGAATTCTTTTTTTTTTTTTTTCCTGGAGGGAAAAAATTGCTGGCAAGAGAAATCTGTTTTATATGTTTATTTTTTTAACTGCGTCTTTCTGGTAAATCAAGGGTCTTTCCTGAAAGCAGCCCGTGCTGCCATTCAGGCTTTGCAAGGAAAAAGCTGTGGCAGTCCTGCAATTCCGTGCTGCCGTTGAGTGAACTGCGGGAAGAGTTTGTAGGATTTCACTTCTCACTAACAGAAATGCTCCTTTTATTTCCTTTTGAATGGATTTTAAATTCCTAAAAGCATACTCTTACAGATCTGCTATGACACTTGAGAGAGAAGCATTACTGAGACATGGACGTGAGATGAAGAATTCATTAGCTATGTATACATAGGTTTTTTTCCTGGACGTCCACAAGTCAGCTGCAGTCATGTACACAGAGATTACCTATTCTAAAAGAACATTAGTGTTTGTCTTTCTTATTCATTCTTTGTTTAGTAACGAAGCTTAGAAAGCACTTTAAAAGATAGGGCTTCTGTTTCAGGATGTCCACGATCAAAACGAAACGGCTAGAGTAATAAAATACCTGCAAGAATAGATATAAGGAATTCAGAGAATAGATTAACAAATGTAAAATCTAAGGTGAAACATGAAGAGAGGAATATGTCACTTTCTTCCAAAGTAGAGGGTTGTTTCCATATCCTTGAAAACTAGAAAACATTGCTAATAGCAATGTGTGTGAAATGTATTAGTATGTGTCAGGGAACATAAGTAATCTGCATTTAGTGTGTGCACATACTATATCCAAAAACTGGTCAAAGCATATCTTTTTGTTGCAAAGCCTAGTGCTCAAATGTTAAGAAATGCCAAAAGTGAGATATAGTCTTTGTAACCTTAATTATGTTTCCTTGTGCATCTACAGTTCAATACACTCTTAATCATGCGGTCACATTGATATTTTTTCTGTGAAATGTCTGTGTCATTCAGTGCACAAAATAAACAAATGTTCAACAAATGAGAAGCTATTCAGTATTTTGTGTTACCCTCACCTTTCAATAACTGTACCACAGTTTTCAGACAGCCTCAAACAGAGAATTATAATTTTACTCCTTGTTTGTTTGTTTGTTTTCTTTTGGTCCTCATTTTAATTGTATTTGAGGGCTTTAAAAGCATCGATCAACCTTTGCAATATACGTCTGAGAGGAAAAGGAATATGATTCCTGTTCTACAGATGAAGAGCTGGGCCACCAAAAAAATTTACATCATGAATATCAGCTCATTCTGGGTGCCAGTTTTCTAAGTTTTGCCATGTATCACCCTTTACATGATCTCACCTGTTGCCTTATTGTGTTCTGCATAGCCACAAATCAACATCTCTAAAGAGACTCTCTGAGGAAAGGACTACACATCTAAGAACCTCTTGTGAAAAAAAATAATTTCACTCATATGCCCAGTATTGCACATGAATTTTCTACAGGAGAAAGCAAAAAAAATAGCTTGAGGTGAAGATCCATCTGGATAACTTCCTTGTGATTGTCTGAAGCATGGTAAATGTTTAAGAAACTGAAAATCACATCCTACAAGAAAGAGTTACATTACTTGAAGAATGTAGGTTATACCCAGTCTTGGGCTCTTCTTGTTAGCTGATGACCTGATCCAGAGGTTGAAACCGTTGCAGGCCCTAGCCTGCAGAAGGGTGCCACCAGGGACCTAGGGCAAAGCACATTCACAAAGCAATACCAGAAACTTGGCACTTCTCGTAATAGTATTTACCTTCCATTTTTCAGATATTTATAAACAGTTGTTTAGCAGAGGATCAGGGTCAAGGCAAATAACTATAACTACCACCCAGCAGACAGAAATTTAACTTGCAGGTTCTCTGTTGGACATCATCATTCTGTTTTTAAATCTTTCCTTGTTGAAGCGGTTTCTAAAAAACACATTATTCCTAATAAAGATACGATGTATTCTAGCAGCCCATAAATAATGAAAGAATATTTTGCTTGTTTTATTTGGGTTTACTTTAGATATGAATTCGGTTTTTGCTCAGGTAGAATAAGGAAGAACTTAATTGCTGCATAAGAGCCACTCATAAGAGAAATGTGCAGGGTGAAGCAATATCATGTTTTACAGTACGTGTATGGATAAACTAAGATATTTGCTTACATAGCTCTAATATGACAAGATGGTGTGTGACAACTCAGAAATGCCTTCAAGCTTTTTAGAAGTAATCTAGAACTGTGTTTAAAGCAGAATAGGCCTTGAAATACAAAAGGACAAGAGAATGATCCTGTGTTACTCAGGGGGTCATATATACAAAGGGTTCATTTTATGTGAACATGAAGATTTGCTTTATTATTTCATGGATTTGTTTCATTATAGCACTAAAGCCTTCAGTCAACTGTAGCCTGAATTGTCGCAAATGTTGTTGTTACTGTACTAATGCAATCAGAGAGCTTTTCTTGAACTTTTTTTGAACGTCATTTCTATGTGAGCGCAATCCAAACATGCCTTAGAAAGTTGAGGACAGGAACAACATGGTCTACAAAATGTGCATTTTACATATGCACTTGCTACTGAGACTGATTTCCAGATAGTGGAACATGTGTTACAGATATAAATGAAACACATAAAAAGGGTGTTCTTCAGTTAAAAACAAGCTCTGCCTGTCAAGATGATGAGTGTTCTAGGAGTCTGAGTCAATTATAAACTACTCTCTCTTTTACATGCAGAAGAAAAGCCCATACTGCTTCTTGCAATTTTTCCTCTAACAGTAATTTATAAAGTTTTGTTAATTGGCTGTTGAATGTAGATAGTCAGGCACTATAAAATGCTTACGTGACAGTTTATAAGAAAAAAAAAAGAAAAAAGAAAAAAAAAGACCTCTCAAGTCAAAGCCATGTCTTTCTAAGTCTATTAGGTCTGTGATATTTCTGTTTGAAAATTGCATCCATAGACTTGACCCTACAACTTCTCGGGACGAATTCCTGCTACGAGCACCAAACAAGCAGACAAGGCCAGTCTGATCCAAGGTTTAGACACTGTTAATGATACTCTTCTACTGCCTTCTAAATCAGAAAAATACCACATCGAATGTTTGGAGTGGGGGGGATAATCCTCTCAGTACTCATACAAAAAGAGTAATTTCAAGTGTGTACTTTAAAAGACTGTTCTGAATGTGTTTTATCATTAGCTTATGTGATGTATTCATTTAATGCTCTTGTTGCTGTTGGAATAGAACAGTCCATGATTTCTCCACTCGTTGTCACATCAGGATTATAGCTATTTACCATGGTTGAGGAGGACAGTAGTGCAGGTACGCTACTACTCTCTGAGACCTCAACCTAAAAGTTTTCACAGGTGAAATAGGTGGCTTTGCAGAACTGACCTGGTCTTGTTACACATGCTCTATGGTGTATGTAGCTCCTAGCTACGTTTTGTTAAGTTGCATTTTGCTACTTTTGCAGTTTTAATAGGAATGTGTGCCATAGCTCCTGTTTGTATTCTACTCCCAGTGGTTGCTTTCTGCTTATCCCAGATTGTCTTTTGCATTTCTTGAACACAATCTTTATGCCACGCTGTCTCAAAACTGACACAGAGTTGCAGCGTGCCACCAACCATTTGCCATGTTTCACCTCAGAAATGTCTGCTTTCTAGTGGTAAATGAAATTATGTTCTTATATTAATACAGCAGTTTGAATTTGTAGGAGAAGCTTCTGGCTGAAATTTGCCTTATGAATGTCTGTGTTGTGGTAGTGATTATATAAAGAAGTTGTGCCAAAGAACAACCTTTCATTTACTCTGTTGTAAACTATAGACAATTAACTCTGTATCTCTGACCTCTGTTTTAAATGATCCTTCATCTAGATGATTTCTATTCATATTGCTTCAGGCATCAGATTTAATTCATGGTTCTAGGAAAGATGATGGCTATTATTGCGCAGCACATCTTGATCTCAGAGGATCTGTGGAAGTTATAAAGTATTGAGATGCATGGTATAAGCAGGCTCATGGGGGAAAGAACCAGTTTCTCTCACTGATGATTATTATTTCCACAGTAATTTGGCTTCTACCTTTTAATATTTCCTTTTTTCTTTCATCTCCCAGCTAATTCTGGTTCCTTGCAAGGTCCACAGACTCCACAGTCTACTGGTAGTAATTCCATGACAGAAGTGCCAGGCGATTTGAAGCCCCCAACACCAGCATCAACACCTCATGGACAGATGACACCTATGCAGGGTGGCAGGTATGAGAAGAGCGTTGCTTCATTTTCTCTTACACTGTAGTTCCACGACAGTTTAAGCCTTTTCCCAACTGCTCAGGAACTCATTTGATTCTGTGTTGAACCAGTCCAGCCTTAGAAGTGGCAGAAAATCATCTTGCTTTGGAGGGGAGATTAGGAAAGGGAGGAAGGAGTAGGAGCTGCATTAGTTTTCTAAACACCAGAGAAAAATCAAACAAGCACCAGTGCAAAGGAGAGAATGAGAATATGTCAAGAGTGGGGAGGGATGTGGAACCCAACAGCACCAGCTCAGAACCACAGCCTTGATTCTTGGGTATACAGGTCCAATTATCAAATAAGTATTACAATAACAGTGAGGTAGCAGAGTATTCATCTGGATGGACAGAGAGATCCCTTTCAGTTGTCTATCCTATAAGTCATTCAGGCCAGCTTGATCTGAAGTCTTCTCTCCATTCATAAAGAATCCTTAGCCCACTGACGTCCAGCAAAAAAAAAGTTCTCGTTGACTTCAGCAGAAACCTGAGCTTTGAACTATTTACAGAATCATTCAGAACTTAACATACTTAGATTCTTTTTTCTTCATCTCCAATAGCTCGGAAAGGATAACCAGAACTTTCTTAATCATCTGTAATTCAGGCTGAGTTTTCTCCCACTGTGAAAAACATTTTCTTTTGCATTAAGAATAAATCTGCTAGTTAATAGTGAAAATCCATTTTCCAAGCCAAAATTGTAAGGGCTTTAGAATAAAGCTGGCTGCAGCCATAAAAGTTAGTGCCTCTGCATATAACAGGAAATGGTATTTGGGAGGTAAATCAAATGTAGCTGTTTAGTCTTTAGTAGGAGAGCAAGGGAATGGTAAATTGGTAACCTTGCAGTCATTACCTTTCAATTGGTAAATTTGAAACTGATGAACAGTAATACTATTTTTACACAGCATATAATTAACCTGTGCTTGTGAGGACAACAGCTTAGTGAAATTTCAGAAAAGTTTAGACTTCTACATGACTAATAGGAACATGTGCAGTTGAATTAGATGAAAAACACTGGTCTTTAATGTAAGTAGTCAGATAAGTGTGGGGAAAAAAATGGGTAGATTTTTTAATGATGGTGAAAGTTGTTTGCATCTTCCTCAGGTATGTGCTGCACTGCTGAAGACAGCGTCATGGACTAGGCATATTATAGGCCAGTCTGTTTTCACAGTTCTTACAAATACATGGTGATGTTAATGCCTCTTTTTTCTCCTCTTCTAGAAACAGCGCAGTTAGTGTGCACGATCCCTTTTCTGATGTAAGTGATTCAGCATTCCCGAAGCGAAACTCCATGACGCCAAATGCACCATACCAGCAGGGAATAAACATGCCAGATATGATGGGAAGGATGCCATATGAGCCGAATAAAGATCCTTTCGGTGGAATGAGAAAAGGTATTTTCTTTGTGGGAGTTTAAGTGTTCTTACATCGATTTAATCAGGGTATTCTAGTCATCAGAATGAGCTGCACACTTTGCTGATTCTAACACTGGCAAAATGGCATGCTTATAGCAAAAAGAGAGATGCAGTGCAATTGTGTTTCACTGTGCTCTGATCATATTTCCCCCTCTCAGAGTCATATTGTGTATTTTAGAGGAACTTAACTGTTTCCTGAAACTGTTTCTAGGAACACATTTCAGGAACGATGGCATAAATTCCTAGGGTAAGGTTTTATGCAATGCAGTATGCTTCTTGAAGGTGGTAAGCTACTCTGCAAATCAGATCCTGGACTTCATTGTTAGAATATGAAACTCTGAAGCAACAGGCCTGGTTGTAGTAGGGCTGAACTGGAAATTCACTGTGTGGAACTGAGCAAGTCTCCTTATGTTGTCTGTCTGTTTACATATTTTTCAGAATAGGAAAGCTAGGTTTTTTCTCCCTTAGACAACCCTTGAAAAAAGTGATAAACATGCTCAAAGGTTGTTCATTTTTTAGAAAGCAAAAATTAAAATTAATGTTAAATCTGACTCTTATCCTTTTGGGCACTTAACCTACAGGTGTATTTGTGGATTCTATAAAATGTGCTTAAAATGAATCAGTCTTGCATACCTTGTATATAGGAAAGTGGGAGGAAAGAACACAAGTAGGGCTCACAGTGGCTGCAAAGAGAAGAACAGATGGAGGAGATGAAATTAAGAAGTGGAATCACAAAGAGAGCAAAGGGGAGACATAGGAAGAAGAGGTCCATAAATCAAGGGAAGAATTTTACGGAATGGAATGGAATGGAATGGAATGGAATGGAATGGAATGGAATGGAATGGAATGGAATGGAATGGAAGGGTTGAAAGGGACATACAGGGATTGAGTCCAACTGCCTGATATGTGATGAATTGAGGAGATACGTTAAAAGAGATAGCCTGATGTGATTTTTTAAACCTTTCCTTTAAATCCTTTCTCCTGGACTGTGGAGACTAGCACAAGATGGTTAGAGTAAGGGGAAGGTCCTCTCTGTCTTAGATTCATTTTAGTCGTTATATCCATCTGAGATTAAGTAGGCTTATTCCTTCAGTAAGCAAGTTCTGATATATGTAGGTATATAAGTGCTTTATGAGAAAAAGCAGAACCTAATCCCTACAGCTTTATAATTCAAACTATGAGACTTGCTTTCATCTGTTTGTAGGGTTCATGTTTGCGGTCATATTTAGCATTGTTTGGGGTGAAAAGAGTAAGAGCAAGTTCATCTTCAGCTATGAAGACCACAGGGAAGAAGCTGCCTTGGTGCCTGTTGAGTTCAGCTCGATATGATGAGATTACTTTCTTTGTTTGCAGCTCCTATATAATATTATAACCATCATCTTGGTAGTGGTGCTGCTTCATGTGTTTTCATCAGGCCCTGGAGAGCTTGTCAGACACCAGCTAATTCTCCTTGGCAGTGTTAGGGATCTGAACATTATTTTAAAATATATCATTTAATAAAAAGATATCTTCAAACACCCAGAATAATATATTTAATTTCCTTTACTGTTTCAGTGCCTGGAAGCAATGAGCCTTTCATGACCCCTGGACAAATGCCCAACAGTGGAATACAGGATATGTATAACCAGAGTCCATCTGGAGCGATGTCCAACATGAGCATGAGCCAGCGACAGCAGTTCTCTTATGGAAGTGGCTATGACAGGAGGTGAGTTAATCTTTAGGAGAAAGGAAACCCCATTAATGAAAACAATCATCTCCCCTTCTCATTTTCCCATCTCACCTTGCAGAGAACATATCGGCCTGTATTTCCTACAGCATCTTGCTAAATCACTGGGAGTTAAACCATTGGTAGTGACAGTGTCTAGCTGTTTACGGGAATTAATAAAGAGGAATTGTTACACTTCAGAAGTCACTCAAGCTGCAGCAGATCAGCAAATGGTGTGTTTGGCAGCTGTCTTCAGCTGGCTGCTGGGCTGGGCTGTGATGGTGTAAAGTAGCACTTGAGCTAGTCTTCTTGCCATGTTTTTACCTAAACAGTTGTTGGTGGGCTTTTTTTGAAAAACAAAACAAACAGCCTAACTGTGTTTGGTTTGTGGTCTGTTAGTGGATTGTCTTTGGAAATTCTGGAGTCTGTTGTCTGAGCTGTAGAGGCACTAGTCTTTCAGCGTGTCCATCAGGACCCTAGTAAGTTTGCCTTTCAGTGAAGTAAGCAAGAATAAATTTGGTTCTCTTTTGTTTATGCTGGGAAAGCCTTTGGAAAAAATAATAATAAAGAAAAAACAGTGAAATCACTGATGAATGAGCATTGTTACATAGCAAGCAGAGAGGTTTGAGACTGTTTGGATTTTATCAAGCATTCCAGTAGGTTTTGCAGCTCTGGCTATATTCCCACTTTTACTCTCATTAGATTGTGTGCTTTAGCTTCCTTTTTTGTTTCCTGGTGGTAGCCAAAGTGATGCAGTGTTGGACTTTTAAGTGTAACAGCGGAGTAGAGTTTTCACCCATAGTTTGAAGTAGCGGGTGTGTAGGCTAACACAACCGTCATGTTCAACAGGTCATATTGCTGGGGAGTCAGTGAGATTAAAGTTTCCAGCGGAAGGTGATAAGTCAAGCAAATGTTTTCTTTAAGGGGTGTGTTTTGTTTTCTTGGCAATTTTGGAGAATAAGTGCTTTTTACAGAATGAGGTTTCCTTTGTCATTTTTTAGGTCGGATCATGGGCTGGGTCCTGAAGGCAGTATGGGACCACCTGGTCAAAGCAACATGGTGCCTTCAAACAGTGACCCAAGCATGTACTCTCCTAATCGTTACCCTGGCCAGCAAAGGTGAACACTGATTTCTCTGTTTGTAATATCTGCAATAACCAGCTAATGAGTGCTAGCAGCCTCTGTGGGAGCACATAGAATATGCGGCCTCTTGGTGTTGCTTATGCTTTGTCTATTCTTATTTAGGCTTTTACCTTTGGTTCAGCTTCTTGGGGGTACAGAGGCTTGGGAGAATCAGTTGGCTTTGTGTAGCTATAGCATCACAGACGTTAGAAAAGGAGTATACATACTGTCTTATGTATCTCCCTGCCAACACTGAACTGAACATTTATTATTGCCCCAAGTTCTCCAGTGCAGCATCAAATGACACCAATTCTGAAGCTTCCACAGCTTCATTTGGATTGTGGTTATTCTGTGGCTAACAAAACTAACATTTAGAAAATGTTTCCTTATGTATATAATGTACGTGTACCTTTGCACATTTTTATCGTGTAGCACATAAAATCTTTGACAAGTGTAGACAGTTCCTATCAGGTATATTGTTCTTTTAACTGTCATTAGGTATTTTCTCTCCATCCACATGATAATTTTAGGAAATACTAAACAGCTATTGCTTTCACTCTGGTCAACGCACAAAAACTGTAAATTTTCTGTGTTTTTGGAAAAGCCATGTCCCATGAGATCTTTCAATGCATCAAGTTCCCCGGTCTTCTTTATTTCTCTGACTCTCTGTGATATATTACTTCCATAATTATACTCAAATGGTAGCTATGTTCTTACTGGTAATGTACAGAGTGGAATTACTGACATACTGGTCTGCAATACAGTGTTAATTTTTCAGTATAACTACTTTCCAAGCACTTCATTTCAGCAAGTTAAATTTCATTCAGAGATGCTAAAAATGCTGCAGTTGCACTGCAGTGCCCCTCAGAGGTCATAAGGGGCCACAGGTAAGTTTCCAAGTGCAGCTCAATTCTGCCTCCTGTGTGTATGCTTCATTTATGCAGCATAGTTAAAAATTAAATGAATTTTAGCAAAAGCATAAAAGTACTGTTTTCACTCAGTGATAACATGTTTAAATGTTACATATTGTAATATAATGATATTTATACTAACTTTCTGTCACTGTGGTCCAACTAAATTTAGAATCACAGAATTTCACTTTAAATCAGCAGTTAGGTATTGATTATATACCAAACCTGCATACCTCTAAATTGATAACATTCTTAATCCAGAAAATAGTCTTATGGAGATCTACTCTTTAAACACAAGCATCTTGACTCGCAGCGTCTGAGCTATACATCAAGTACTTGTCCTGCTACAACTGGTTCCCAGCGTCACTGTAGCTACCTGTCTTACCTCTTTGCTGACCATACTCTGTTTCCGTTCCTGACAGCTACCCCTAAACCTCTCTGCTGCATCTTCATTGCTTCTCCTTCCTTCTATCTGCTTTACCTCCTTCCTTTGACTGCCAGCTCCAGCAGAGCTTACTGCACTAGGCTCGGGACCATACCACACTGTACCTTCACTGTGTTTCCAAATGGCAAATATCTTCAACGTGCAAGATCATCAGAGCAATTTCCTTTTCCTGGTGGCTTGGAAATTCCATCAGCTCTAAGTGTTGATTTGAATGCTTCATTTTAGGCATGAACCATACGGGCAGCAGTATCCAGGACAAGGACCTCCCTCAGGACAGCCACCATATGGAGGACATCAACCTGGAATGTATCCACAGCAGCAGGTAGGAAAAGGGGAAACAGTTATATTCATAATATTTGTTTAATAAATGTCACCCCAAAGTTCTGTATACATTCAAAACATTGTTTATAGAATGTATGTCTTTTGGCACAAAGGAGCACTGTAGTTCTGGTCAGAATCACAGCCCATATGGATAAGCAGTGTATATGCAGCTATAGGAGAATATGTTCATAACACTGAAAGAACATAAATTTTAACAGATGTTCTGTGGCTTTGAATGTGTATCAAGTGAATGTCCCAAGTTAATAACCAGCAGACTGGGAAAGTATAACTCATAGGCTAGTAAAGTGATGCTGCCTCACTTTCAGAAACAAATAGGAAAGCTGCTTGACTGGCAGGTTGAAGGGCCTCAAATTATGTCATGCAGCCAAGTGAACCCAACAGAAAACTGGAACAGAGTAAATCATGCAGTACTCGCAATTATTTTGAATGTTGTGGTGGGTCATGTGCATTACCTGTCTTTAATATATATCAGATGGTATATTCCCTGTGTGTTCTCTCAAGTAATATGTTACCAATACATGAGAGGTGTTATTAGTGTTAAAAATAACTTAAAACATTTTGTACATTTCAGTCTCTCAGTGTAAAATCTTTGAAAATGCAAATGATACACAAATTTAAGGTTTTTGTAAGACGCAACATTACTACCTTGTGGGTGAAATCCCTTCTTGTAAGTCAATATCAAAACTACACTGACTTCAACAAGGTCAGAGTTTCATCTTGCATGTTATGAGTTCCAGTTATACAGTAATCAAAATTAGCTTCCAAAGTAGAAAGCATTTCCGTATAATACAATGTCAGAATGCAAGCTTGTTTTCAGACAGTTCCAAATAGTCCTTTTCAGCTTGGGGTAGAGTTTTACTAGGAAATTTAGGAAAGAGAAAAAAGAGGTTTTAGGTTACATTGTACTAAAAAGGCTTAAAATGTTCAATTTCTTACCTATCTCTTTGGTTCAAACATCTCTAAAATAGCATCATCAAAAAAGTAATGTGCAGTTCTTTTCAATGAGCATATACTAGCAGCTGAGATGATTTAATGGGGAAATTGCAAAGACGCATAACAGAACAGTTTGAGATATTCCATGCTAACGTATGTAGGTTATATATTAACTACATGTTCATTTAAGCAAGAAGACAGCTTAAATTTGTGTGTGTGTGTGTATATATATTTGGTCCTGTCCCTAGTGCTGTTCATGTGTTTTGTATAATGTCTCTCGAATGCAAAATGCATTCATTCAAGCGTGAATGCAAAAAAGCATTGAAGAATGAAGGGCGAGAATCCTGGCCTTGGCCCCTCCCAGAGGGGGCTCCCACTCCCAGAGGATTCCCCCTTTCCACTTAGCTGGGAATCAGGTTGCCCCTTCCTTACTCTATTTCCTAAGTTTCACTCTGTAGTGTTCAAGAAGAATGTGAAAAATGGCCCTTTCAAAGCCTTATCTGCAGCCTGAAGGCTAGGGAATGACTAGGAAGGAGGTGCTTGGAGCATGAACCCCTGGGGCTAATGAAGCACTTTGAGCCACTTTTTTCAATTCCTGTATGAATGCTTGTAGCCTGAGAGTTATTACACAGCAGGTGACCGGTGTTGGTGTCTTTTTGTCTGTTGCAAGATCTCACAATTCCACTTTCCCAGTGGAGAGAGGCACATTGTGTAGTCTCGGTCACCCTGCTGAACCTTTACACAGGAGGGGGAATCAGGTGCACCACTGCCCTCCGCACTGGTTACCTTTAGGCATAAAGCAGGATGTGCTTGCCACTGTAGTTGCCACTACATAGACAGGAACACTGAACAGCTTTTATAAAGGCACGTGCTTCATTCTTAAGTGTCTGCTTTAAGCATTCTGAATCACTCAGGTAAAACAAACACCTTCTTAGATGTGGCAACTACCAAGTCAGTTCTCAAGGTATGAATTGGCCCAAAGCGTGGAATTTGCCACAGCAAGTAGCTTATGTAAGGCTGAAAAGGTTATTCTCAAATAGCCAGACAGCTCTACAGCAAGTTAAAAAGAAATAAAAAATACTTTTGAGCAATGCAGCAGTTGCATTTTTATGTGCACCAAAGTTGGAAGATGAGTTTATGAATCCCAGGGCTGTTTTAACTGACCCATATTGAATATATACTGAGTTTTATCTATATGTAGATATAGATACCAGGGGAGCCATAACTTTGAACTTACCATAGATCATATATTCAAAAATTGCCCCTTTAATACAAATGCTGCATTCGGAGTGGTTTGAACTGTGCAACAAATTCCCAAAGGATTCAAGGACCCCTGCAAACTTTACCACTTTCCCCTCAAATTGCAACATCTTTATTTTTGTCCTGCTGTCTTAAATCCAAACAAACTCGTATGATTTAAAACCAGCTCGTCTCCCCCCACAGTGTAACAGCTTACCTCACACAACATTCCCCAGTTGAGAGGGTGAGAAACAAAGACGGAATAAACCATGGGTGGCAGCTGTTAGTTACATTGCTTCATTCATCACTGAGCAGCAGTGTAAGAACCTGCATAAACTCGAGTAGAATGTTGGGATGTGACCGGCTTTTAAAATAATCTCACATGAAATTAAACGTGCTCAGGATGATTAGGGAAGGAGGGCTGGTTGCCCAAGCAGGACCGTGTTTCCAGGAATTATGCAGAGTAACAAATGAAGGAGAATTTTTCTCCTAATAGTATAGATATTGTGTGTAGCTTATGCTTTGTCATAATCTGGTGTTTCAACCTTACATGCTTGTGGCATATCCTGTTATTTTAAGAGTTCGTTCAGTGCTTGTCCCTTGAAGAGATTAAGTCATTGAGTGGTTTTGTTTTAAAATTTGTCTTCTTAGCAGACTAAGCATAAAAAAAGAGTGAAAATATCTTAGTTGGTGAGGACTGCTGCCTTTCTATGCATGTCTTAAATGGTCAATGGAATTTTATCTGACAGATAGGAAAGGAAGGGGAAAGGGGGAAAACAAGAGCAAGCGTAAGAAAATTCAGCCCAAGGATAAGTTTCCTGTCAATATTAAGTTACAAACGCAGCACAACAGAGGCTTAAAACGAAAGCCCTCGATCAAACCTAACTAGCACTGTGTGCCTGACTGGAAGCAGCATGATCCTTCCAGAACGAGGAGCCTTCAGCTTTTTAAATGAGCTTCCAGACGATCTATTTGATTGTGTATGGAGCAAAAGTGACAAATCTTCTTCCCTTTTTTTTTTTTTCCAGAACTACAAGCGACACATGGATGGCATGTATGGGCCCCCAGCCAAGCGCCATGAAGGGGATATGTATAACATGCAGTACGGCAACCAGCAGCAGGAGATGTATAACCAGTACAGCAATGCTTACACTGGGCCTGACAGGAGGCCCATGCAGGGACAGTATCCGTATCCGTATAACAGGGAGAGGATGCAGGGCCCAGGACAAATGCAGCAGCACGGAATACCTCCCCAGATGATTGGTGGCCCCATGCAGTCGTCATCCTCCAGTGAAGGTCCTCAGCAGAACATGTGGCCAACACGAAACGATATGCCTTACCCTTACCAGAACAGGCAAGGTCCAGGAGGCCCTGCACAGGCCCCGCCGTATCCAGGGATGAATCGCACTGATGATATGATGGTACCTGACCAGAGGATAAACCACGAGAGTCAGTGGCCTTCTCATGTCAACCAACGTCAGCCTTCTTATATGTCATCCTCAGCCTCCATGCAGCCTATCACTAGACCTCCTCAGTCATCCTACCAGACGCCACCCTCTATGCCAAATCACATCTCTAGAGCTCCAAGTCCAGCATCCTTCCAGCGCTCTTTGGAAAACCGTATGTCTCCAAGCAAGTCTCCTTTCCTACCCTCCATGAAGATGCAAAAGGTTATACCCACAGTTCCGGTGTCACAGGTCACAGGACCTCCACCCCAACCACCACCGATTAGGCGAGAAATCACCTTCCCCCCAGGCTCTGTAGAAGCATCGCAACCAGTCTTAAAACCAAGACGAAAGATTACCTCAAAAGATATTGGTAAGCATCAAAACAAAAGCCAAATACCGAAACAGGTTATGAAAAAGGGACTTTGATTTTTATTTTATTTTTCATCTGTTTTTATTTATTTTATTCATTTTTTATTTGTTTGTTTTATTTTAAACCTATTTTGACAAATAGGTAGCGTTGGTAACTATTATGTGATAATGTTAAATAAAAATGTAATAACATATGCATCATGAGGATGATACCTAAAACTCAGCCCAGCAAATCTGACCTGGAATTAAATCCGTTTTTAATATGGAGGGCAGGGGTGTCAAAAAATGCACATTTGCATTAAAAATGAAGCTTCTCTCATACTTCCAAAGGTTATGTGTTGACAGTTCCATCAGAGTGTCTGTTAAATCACCAGTGCAACATTTCTACATTCTTGTCCCGTGGAAGCTCACAACAGAGCTAATGCTGTTCCGCTGTGTACTTACAGTGTCTGCCTTTCTTAAGTGGCCCATTTATTCATTCCATATTATTTGTCTTTTTTTTTTTCTCCCCATATTCTTTCCCAAGTATCTACTTATCTTGAATTCCTGTTATGTTTCACACATTCAAGTTCTCATACTTGAAATTCCCATACTCCTGACAGAGTATTCTACTTGTATTTATGGATTGTTTGCTATGGACAACTTCTCAAAAGTTTGTAAGATGACTTCATCTTCAGCAAAGTAGGAAGAATGGCCCTGTTAAGATATTCTCCAGAATTAAGTCTAAGCAGCAGTTACAGAAAAACAGAATGAAGCTAAGTGGTGAAACCAGGGTTTTAAACAAGCAATATTTCGGTAACTGTTTCATTTGTATTTTGCACCCTCAGAATGTCACAGCTTGTTCTTTCAAAACTCATTAACAGACTGCAAGTATGCACTAATACTGTTTTGCTGTTATCCTTTCTTTCTCCAGTAACTCCTGAGGCCTGGAGAGTGATGATGTCTCTTAAATCTGGTCTTTTGGCTGAAAGTACCTGGGCGCTAGACACTATTAATATTCTTCTGTATGATGACAGCACTGTCGCTACTTTCAACCTCTCTCAGGTAGGTGGGAAAGCAATACACCTTTCAGCCTTCCAAGGAAAACAAGCGCCAATAAAATACATATGAAAATGCTGAAGTCTCTTAAAATTGATCATAATCAACATAAAACTGAATATTGCAAAAATTCCATTTGTGATTATTGGTAACAGTGAGCAACAAAACATGCTTGAGGCTAGAGTAGGGGAAATAAGCTCAAAAGGGAGGATATCTCTAGAAAGGCACACATAGGAATGTAAGAGTCTTATCACTGGCAGAAGACTGATGTGTAAATTCACATTTGTTGTAGCTCGAGGACAATTCCAGAAAACAGCAATATGGTAGTAATCTGGTGGTGTTTCCAAAAAAAGGCATTGCAGAACAATGTTAAATCTACTTGAGACTGCCTTTCAGTCACTATTTGTCTGACTCAGTGGTCCCATACTACGCTGTAAGATTCTCTGAATCACCTATTTTTTGTTTCACTTATTCTTCCAGTAAATTAAGTTTGTACAGAAATTTCAGATTTATAAGATGATTTAAAGGCTAAAACCCGCTGTTTGTCCACAGGACACAAGTAACGTACCATTTAACAGTGTATGCTTTTGCCTCACTACCTATTAGAATTTTTCAGCCCTGCTCTACCCACTGGCCTGTTAGGTGGCAGTAATAGAGGGTATGCTGATAATGCACATAATCTAAAATTTGTGCAAATGAAATATTCAGTTTCTCTGCTCCATTCATTCCTTGGTTACTAATAGTGTAACTCATCATTTTTTAAATATAATGACCTTTTTTTTTTAAAACAGACACAGATGGTACATTTCATCCCACCTAACTTTAGAACAAGGGATATCTATAGCATGATTCATCTCATCCTAAAGTAGAGATCTAAAATAGGTCAGATGAATCATACCCTAGAAATGGCCTCTAAAAGATCATGGACTATAAAAGGAATCTAGACAATTAGGTTAGGTGTGTAACTGTTGCAGGTGTTTGGGGTTAAGCGAGGCAAATCTCACCTGAATTCTCTCTGTTAGAGATTGCATTAATGCACCTTGTGCAAATTACACAGAATACCAGATTATTTTAGATTTCTGAGGGGTTACCTTTGCCTTGAACACAATTTCCAATGGCAGTCAGGACTCTTTATGATGACTGATAATTCCTGCAGTTCATAAGGATTTGTTTGTTCTTAATTCTTTGGGGGATTTGGCAGTGGCTAGAGAATTCAGAATGGACAAAGGGATACATTTTGCTGAACACCTATTAGTCTACAATTAAAACAACCATTAAAAGGCAGACAATCAGGCTGAATATATCATAACAGTAAAGAATTTTTAATAATAAAACCACTGAGGATAATTAGTACCAAGTCCAACTACTGCCTTTCCATGAGAAAATGATTACAAGTTAATTAAGAGGATTAAAGCTAAATGAAAACTGTTTCTGAAGGATGACTTCCAGCACCAGGCTCCAATAACAATTTTAAAATACTGCTAGGCAAAAAGAGAACCGTTCCAGTAGAGGTGGGATATTAATCTAGGATGTTAGTTCCTTGAACCCGAACTGCAGATACCTACAGAACAGTTGGTTGTAGAGACTGAGAGGCAAAGGAGAAGAATCATCAACTTCAGGATTCGAATAAAAGTACAATTCAGAAAAGCAAGGCAAGTGTGAAACTTCAGTGCTCTGAACAGACAATAAAGAATACCAGGCACTTCCCAGGGGACAGAACAGCGAGGCTAGGTGTCTACTGCAGCTTAAAGGAGGCACATGAATAGAAGTATTGTACGTCTCATAGCTGTTAAAGTTTAAGCAATTGGAGCCATGATAGTCTGACATTATATACTGATGGGACAGAAACTAAAAGAATTTCCTTTAATAACTTCTGCCATACAGGGCTAAGCCACGAGTCCACAGCAGGAGGAGGGAAATATTCACAGATGTATGCTTTGGTGTTCCTAGTAAAATCCCATGCAGACAAAAATATTTATCTGTTTTTTGTTTCTTTCTTTCTTTCTTTCTTCTCCCCTTAGTTGTCTGGATTTCTAGAGCTTTTAGTAGAATATTTTAGAAAATGCCTGATTGACATTTTTGGAATCCTTATGGAATATGAAGTGGGAGATCCAGGTCACAAAGCACTTGATCACAAAGCAGCCAAGAAAGATGATAGCCAGTCCGTGGCAGAGGATACTGGAAAAGAGGAGAACGACGAATGTATTGACTATTTTGATGAAGAGGAGGAGGAGGGGGATGATGAAAAGGTAGAAGAAGAAAAAAGCATTGTTTTTTCCACTCCTGGTGCCATTGCTGATCCAAGCGAGAGGCCAAAACAAGCCAGTAAATTTGACAAGCTGCCAATAAAGATTGTAAAGAAAAATAATCTATTTGTGGTTGACCGATCTGACAAACTTGGACGCGTTCAGGAATTTGATAGTGGACTTCTCCACTGGCAGCTTGGTGGTGGTGACACAACTGAGCATATCCAGACTCACTTTGAAAGCAAGATGGAGATTCCTCCACGCAGGAAAGCCCCTCCTCCCTTGAACTCTCCAAGCAAAAAGAAGGACCTCGAGGGGAAAGGTGAATCTGAGGAACAGCAAGAAAAAAGTATAACAGCAACCATTGACGATGTCCTCTCAGCCCGGCCAGGAGCATTGCCTGAAGACTCAAACTCTGGTTCCCAAACAGAGAGCAGTAAATTTCCCTTTGGGATCCATCAAGCCAAAAGCCACCGGAATATTAAACTGCTAGAGGATGAGCCAAGGAGCCGGGATGAGACTCCTCTATGCACCATAACTCACTGGCAAGACTCCTTGGCCAAACGCTGCATCTGTGTGTCAAATATCGTCCGTAGCTTGTCTTTTGTGCCTGGCAATGACACCGAAATGTCCAAACATCCAGGCTTGGTGCTGATCCTGGGAAAGTTGATCCTTCTTCACCATGAGCATCCAGAAAGAAAGCGAGCGCCGCAGACTTACGAGAAGGAGGAAGAGGAGGACAAAGGGGTGGCCTGCAGCAAGGATGAGTGGTGGTGGGACTGCCTCGAGGTCTTGAGGGATAATACATTGGTCACATTAGCCAACATTTCTGGGCAGCTAGACTTGTCTGCTTACACAGAAAGCATCTGTTTGCCAATTTTGGATGGCTTGCTGCACTGGATGGTGTGCCCGTCTGCGGAGGCACAGGATCCTTTTCCAACCGTGGGGCCCAACTCAGTTCTTTCGCCTCAGAGACTTGTGCTGGAGACCCTGTGTAAGCTCAGTATCCAGGACAATAATGTGGACCTTATCTTGGCCACCCCCCCATTCAGTCGTCAGGAGAAACTCTACGCTACTTTAGTTAGGTACGTTGGGGATCGCAAAAACCCGGTCTGCCGAGAAATGTCCATGGCGCTCTTATCGAACCTTGCCCAGGGGGACACATTAGCAGCAAGGGCAATAGCTGTGCAGAAGGGAAGCATCGGAAACTTGATAAGCTTCCTGGAGGATGGGGTCACCATGGCCCAGTACCAGCAGAGCCAGCATAACCTCATGCACATGCAGCCTCCGCCTCTGGAGCCGCCTAGCGTAGACATGATGTGCAGGGCAGCCAAGGCCTTGCTGGCCATGGCTAGAGTGGACGAGAACCGCTCAGAGTTCCTTTTGCACGAGGGTCGTTTGCTGGATATCTCAATATCTGCTGTCCTGAACTCTCTGGTTGCATCTGTCATCTGTGATGTACTTTTTCAGATCGGGCAGTTATGACATAAGTGAGAAGCCAAGCATGTGTGAGTGGAGATTAGAGGGTCACATATAACTGGCTGTTTTCTGTTCTTGTTTATCCAATGTAGGAAGAAGGAAAAAAAAAGAATCTTTGCTCCTCTGCCCCATTCACTATTTACCAATTGGGAATTAAAGAAATTATTAATTTGAACAGTTATGAAATTAATATTTGCTGTCTATGTGTATAAGTACATCTTTTTATTTTATTTTTTTTAACCAAAGTTGCTGTCTAGTACATTCAAAGGTCACACTTTTTTTTTTTTTTTTCCATAGATTATCCTTTTCAATGTTCTTTTCCATGTTTGTATTGCATATTTTTTGGGAAGCGAACTAGTGACTTTTTAAAAAAAATGTTATGGCAAACCATTGTATGATGGAAAAAAATCTCACCACTTTGAAACGAAAAGGTGAAAAATAACCAACATACCAAGTTCCTGTGTGTTTTATTTTTTCAAATAAGGAAAAAATAAAAAAAAAAAAACTTGTATACCATCACCCAAAGCTCTGTGCAATAGAAGATTCTAGTGATGTAGGTGTAGGGGATCAAGGAGGGTGTCAGTCAGTAGTCAAAATACAAAACGATATGGGTTTCTCCTCAGGAGAAATGGTTACATTAGGCTAGGAGCAAAACAAAACAAAAAATTCAAGTTAAAAGATTTTTAAACAAAACCTGATGATAAACATCAATTGCTTCCTCACCAGAACTGTCTTGTCTACATCTGTTTTGTTTTTTTTTTTTGACCTTCCACAATGACAGTTCTTCACGATTCCTTTAATCATTTTTTAAAATATTTTTTTATTGCCTAAGGGCCGTGATGTATATAGAAGTTGTACATTAAACATACCCTCATTTTTTTTTTTTTTAGTACAAAGTTTTTAGTTTCTTTTTCATGATGTGGTATCTACAAAGTGATAGTAGAATTATTTTTTCTTTCATTTGGGCCATATCTCCAAAAAATAATAAAATAAAAAAAAAAGAAAAAAGAAAAAACCCAACACAGAAAACCAACAACTGAGGGTAATGTACAAGTTTCTGTATGTATAAAGTCATGCTCTATTTCGGGAGAGCAGCCGATCACAATTTGCTTTATAAATCAAGGTGTGGAAATGGTTACGTATGGATTGATTTAAGAAAATGGTTACCAGTCTACAGACAAAAAAAAAATATATACAGGAAAAAAAAGGAAGAAACACAACTTCAAAGATTTTTCAGTGACAAGAATCTGCATTTGTATTTCAAGATAATGTAGTTAAAAAAGAAAAAAACTTGATGTAAATTCCTCCTTTTCCTCTGGCTTAATGAATTTCATTTATTCAGTATAAAATCTTTATATGTTCCACATGTTAAGAATAAATGTACATTAAATCTTGTTAAGCACTGTGATGGGTGTTCTTGAATAATGTTCTAGTTGCAATGTGGGATATCGGAAAGCAGACTAATTGCAAGAAAGAGCAATAATGATTATTCTCTTTCCCCTCCTTTATTATTATGACCTTCGGAAATATTACTCTGCTGTTCAAGTATTCTAGCAACTTGCTCTCGTTTTAGAAAAACCTTCTCAAATCACAGAGAAGTGTTTCTAATTATTATTTATAAAACCACAGAGCCTCAAAGGGGCAAATAGTCCTGACCATGCAGGTATCCAGTCTCAGTGCTGCGTTTGGGAGGGGCTGAAGATGGATGTTAGAAAAAGTGACAGAAGATTTTGTTAAAGCAATAACCAACTTGAAGAAAATGATCTGTATTCACTACCTGTAATTCTCTGTTGGTTAAAGGTGCAAATACCCCAGTGATGCGGGTATTTAGAATAAACACCCCCCCACTTCTCGATACTGTATGTGTCATTGCATACTTACATGGCCTCTCATCCTGGGATTTCCCTGGTAAAGTGGATCAGGCTTTAACAGAGCACATCCATGGCTGCAGTTGGTGGGAGATGGCCATTTCAGTTTCAGGAACTATCTGGTTTCCACTCTCACCTGGTGATATCTTGTTGCTGAATATTGTTCAAGCACTAATTTTTGCTGTTTCATCTTGGATCATTGACTTTGTTAGTGTGATCATAAAAAGCTAATAATAATCAATTTCTCCGGAATTGCCACATAATTACACTGTTAGTGGACATCCTCCTCCCCTCTCCAATCACAGTGCGGAGGTAGTTGAAAATTACATCCCCCTTTGGCGTACTGCCCATCGTGCTCATACGGATCGCTATAACATTAATATATGTAAGAGAATTTCAGAGACAGGTAAAGTATATACAATTATAAGCCGGGTTTGAAACGTGACTCCCTAGAGTCACGAAAAGTAATTTCTCCTTCTAGCTTTTCTTATTCAGTGATCTCTCCACTCCCACATCGCCTGCTGCAGCGGTCTTTCTTTCTCTTGCGTAACAAAGCATTCAGAAATAGGTGGTGAATTATAACCCACCTGTAACTCTTCATCACAGAAGGAGGCATATTTCAGGGGTGATTTTTACAGCTTAATACTAGGCAGTGTAGAAGTAGTATCCCCTACTAAACCCATTTCTTACTAACATTTTACAGCTTGATATTACCCTGTGGATACAAGCAAGCTGTTAAACAAACCCTCTGCAGAGCGATACTCACCCCTTTCTTGTCAAGGACATCTTGAGCCTGTGCTCTTCTCTCTTCAGCATTCAGACCCAGAGTTCTCTGGGGGAAAAACCACACCTGTGGCAAAACACTTGTGAGCTGTCAGAGCCAGAGCTTTAATGTCATTCAGGACTGCTCTGAGCCTGGTTAAACAATGTGGTGGGGGGAAAAAAATCCATCTAGCCAGCCAGCCACATGATGTCCATCTGTATGGAGCATTGCTGCCACGCTTCCAGGTGGACCAAGGAGTAGAACTGCCTGGGGAACTGGAAGGCTGGAAAGGAAAGGTTAACAATACAGGTGCTGCCTGAATGTGATTTACAGTAGTAACAGTAAATTATTTAAATCACTGGTTAATATTACAATACATTTATCAGAAGAAAGGCAAAATGTAAGAACTCCTCTCTGTTGTCAATTTATGATTTCACATCTCTTACTAATGTTTCCGTAAGCCTTTGGAGAACTACTCATGAGACTTGTGAACTTGGCATGTTCTGACTGAATCCTGAACATGTTTGAGCCGCTGTTGGTATCTTTCCTACAAGAGATACTTAGTTTTTCAGTTAAAAATTTTTACATTTTTGTGCTGATGTGATCACAGGTGCTGTGTAGCAAAGTTCAGACTAGTGCTAACAAGAGGGTGTGATATTTGATGTTCTAAAGCCATGACAAGTTGCCTTGGGGAAAGCAACCAATTAGTATTTTAGGCAATAATCAAACCCACAAGTATTTGACTGTATCAATAAGCTACCCATTGTTTGGCAGGACCGAGCAACTAATTGCTTATAGATTAAAATAGCAGCACTGAGATACGTGGAGTCCCTGAATCTCACTGACCTTTAGAATCACATCAGGAGCTAAAAGATGGCTATCCCTTTTGGCAGCAAAATATGTTTTTGTTTCTTATTAGCATAGGTCAGCGTGATGGATGGGCTTGATGATCTTGAAGGTCTTTTCCAATCTAGATGATTTTATGATTTCCTACAATGTCCTAAAAAAAATAAAAAATGCTCAGAAACACCATTTTCAACTATCCAAAAGGAAGGATGTGGAAGAAAAATTCACCCACATTTAAAAGCCTTTGCACTTTCTCTTCCATCTTGTTTAGGTATTTTACACCACAATTGGTGACTTCTGTGCCATACATCACTTCTGCGGGTCCGTTATCTTTTTGTCCTGGACACCTCCAGAAGATTTAATTACACAGAGAAATGTTGTAGCAAATGCATATGTTTGTCTTTCACATGAAGGACTCAGAACATTCTCACAGTGATATTTAGAACAGACCTCTTACTTTATAATAATATGAAAATACTGCTTAGTGACAGGGAATTGAGTGAAGCTGACAATTTTGACGAAAACACTTCCGTCCAATACAGGTCCAGGTGTTGCAGGGATAGGTGCAGGAGTTCATTTCAGCCTTTGCTTTAACCCTTTGTCACTGCTTCACGCAGCTGCTTGTTCAGAAGCTGCTGTTCAGTGTTACTCGGGGGCAGAGAAGAAATCCCTCACCGCTTCCTCCTTCCCCCCTGGAAAAGGGGAAGGGCTGTGAACATCCACAGTGCAGATGACCAAGGTAACACAGAACTGAACTGGAACTTGGCAAGCGAAGTGAGGTGGCACACGCTAGGTCACCCGTTCAAGAAGCTGTGTGCTGCTTCATTACCTCGCTGTTGCTGTATCCTAAGAAGTAATGCACACCTATTGCCCCAATGCTGCAATAACATTGTTACGATCACAAAATTCAGTTTTTTCTTTATATTAAACAGGAGAATAGTCTCAGGTTTTGAAACAAATTCTTCAGAGAGGGATGATGACTGCTACTTCTGTCACCATCAACGTGGTAACACCGTATATGTGGTAACCACACACAAAACCACGAAGTAGTCCCTGCTGCAAGAAGTTTATGTTCCAAGTCACGAACAAGTAAATGCAGGTGGAGACAGATGGGATAAAATGGAAACAAAAGCAACAGTAAACTAAAAATACAGGAACCACGTACAGAGTGCAATTACAAAAAGCTAGAATATGGTCCCATACCATTGGCAAGTTTAATTTTCTTCAGGATAATTTGTGAAGTTCCTGGGGTCTCTCCCACTTCCTTTTTCTGATGAAATCTTACACCTCTCATGCCCAATTCCTTTCCCTCTATCCATCACAAAGATATTTATAGGGATGGTTGAATCTGAAGAAAAGAGCGAGAGAAGTACTGAGGAAGGAGCAAGGAGAAAGACATGGCCACTTGGAGAAAGGGAGGCAGAATATGAAGACCAAGCTAAAAGAAAAGCATCCTGTGTCCCTGCTGCATCACTGTTTTCACATGTGGGTCATTCCAAAGAAACACATAATTAAACCAAGCCAAGATA